TAAAATGCAGCCTGAGTTGGAAAAGCAGTCTAATTGACTTCTTTTTCTGGAAGTTTTACATTTTCAAAGTGTGAACTTGAACTCCCATGGGCCTGAAGCCTTATACTTGTTTCACATTTTACTTACATTGGTATTACCTGTTGAGCATAATTAAAATTTGATGTTGAATTTGCAGTTTAACATAATGTACTTTTGCATCAGAATTGACAGTAGCCTATTTTGTTATTTCCTGCTTTTTGTCTGTACATTTGACAGCTTTGCTGCCTTGTTTATTTATTTATTTATTTATTTATTTTATTATCTGTTATTTTACTTCAGAAAAGGCAAGCAGTATCGGGACAGGCGAGAGAACAAACTGAGACAATCCAAACTCAGCTGGTACATAATTAGAATCTTGTTGTGTCTGTGTTGTGGTGGCTTTATTTGTTATTGGATCTTTTCAAAGAGATCTTTCTGAAAGATTTCTGTCATAGGTTTACATGCCAAAATCTTAATACTGTGCTTTAGAGAGTTTTAGTTGTGTATTTATGAGTTCTTAATGCAATGAGGACACTTTATTGTAATGGTTGCTATATTTAGTAAGATAATTTTTTTTTTAGTTTTATTCATTCGAAAACTTTGTGTATAGTTATCAAGTCATGCCAGTACTGTATGATATGTGAAGTAGCAATTGCATTACAATAATGTGTCCTCTAGCACATTACTAATATCTATGCATTCTTGTTTGCAGAGGTGCTGCTCAGCTGTGTGTAGCAAGCATGTCATTCACTATTCATATCACTGAATGACAGCCCAGTGGGCTTATGTAGCTTTACTCTACTTCTTGTGGCCTATGATGCTTTCTGTGTTATGTAGGAATGAATATGTTTTATAAATACATAGCATTCATTATATATATATATATATAGAGAGAGAGAGAGAGAGAGAGAGAGAGAGAGAGAGAGAGAGAGAGAGATGCTAACATGGGGAACTATCACATTTTAATTTTGACTAAAACAGTTGCAGTTTTAAGTATAGCTACCAGACCAACAAAATGTGTAATGATTTGTTGCATTTTAAGAGCAGCCTAAGCAAATTGATTTGCCAGTTTTTCATTTTGTTTGTTTTGCAACTGTATCTTAAACTATATGGTTTTAGTTCAAAGTGATATGAAAGCATTTATAGTGTATAAAATATAAATAGTGTACAGTGCATGTGGGTTAGGTATCCTGGTGGTTGTCTATTGCCTTTGAGTAGTGACCATAGTGTGGAGTGGATATTTTTAATGGGAAGATCAGTAGAATAGAGATAATAGGGCACCTAGGAGACAGAAGCAATTACTCATTAAATTCACGCAAAGTATCATTTCATATTTTGTGAAACTGTTTTGAAAGGGATATCTGAAAATCTTATCTAAAATGCTCTTTCATTCCATGTCAGAAACATATTTTTGTTAGTAAATGAAAAGAATATCGAAAAAATAAAATTTTGGATTCTGTAAGATTTGAAGTGAGTGATTGCCGTAGTCTTCCTGCTTTTGCCATTTATAAAAACAAAACAAAACAAAAAAAGGATTTGAGTAGTATTTGCACTGACCTGGACAGGGCATTTGTTGGTGTAGACATGCTTATTAACATGTAATGAGTAGAGTTGCTAGGTGTTTAATATCAATATGTGAAGTTTTTGCTGCTGTGGCCTTTAGCCTTGTGGTGTAAATTGTGGCTGTCATATGTTGTTATGATTAACATCTGTTTCTATATATGTTCAGTTTCTTTAAATGTCGCAAGATATTTTAATTGATAATTTTATAAAAAAAATTTTAATGTTGCTATTTGTATGATTTTGACCCATTTATTTAGCAGGTCAGTCAGCATGCAGTCAATGTACCCTTTTCTTTTATTAATAGATTCCATATTTGGTTTCATTTCAGTTCCTCTGTTTGGAAGCAAATCACAGGGTATAAAATCCCTTCATTTTATGCATGCAACAAAGCAACCCTTTGTTTTGCTATGTGCACCACACTCCTCTAGGGACTATTTTGCTGTTGTAATTAAATGTTTGTAATATATTTGCTTTTGCACCTATACAAATGCATGTTACTCGTAGGTATTACTATACACGTGTGGGTATCATTGCATACAAACATTTGTGTATACGGACCATTTTTCAGTATTTGTCCCCTTTCTAACATTTTTTCTCCTCAATAAAATTGTTCATAATCTTTTTAACTCTCCTAATCTCAACAAAAATGTCAACTGTCTTAAAGAAAGAAGAAGGAATAAAAGTGGCAAAAAAATTTTTAAAAATATCTTACAGAGGGGAATTGTATGTTAGGCATATGCATAAAAACATCAGAAAAACACATTTTGCATGTGACAGGAACTAAACTTCAGTATTGCAGATATGGTATTACATATTTGAATATGGACATCATTAGGTGATCTGTATGAAACATTTCCAAATATGCATGCATGAGGACATATTTAAACAACAAGTATTACACCTATAGTACAGCAAACTTTATAGATAGTCTACCTTAGTTTTTGTATACCTTAGTATAAAAACATAAAATTCAGTGAATTTTTATGTTAAGGTGAAAATGTTTGTTTATCTATTTAATATACACAATTTGTATCAATATTAGTAGACATAACACTGCAAAGTTGTAGTCTTTGTTACTAACATTTTTTTTAATGTTAGAGCATTTTATTATTCAAACCTGATTTTACAAAGCAGACATGTTAATCAACAACAAGACACAAGTTGCACTAAATGATTTCATTATCCCTTTGAGCATGTATAATAATGCAAGCTGCATACAAATAAGAAGACTTTTGGTGGCTAATGGTATGAAACACCACTAAATATGCCAGGGAGTGTTTAATCAAACCGTGACTTTGTGACATTAAGTGCATTCACATTTGCAAAATGAAAGCTGGGTGTTGTGCTGCGTGACATCATTTGTAATCATTACTTACCTGCCCAGCAGTAGCCCACCTTTGTGCAGCTGAAGTCCATGTTCTTAGAAGACTTACTGTTGGACTGGCAATAAGCTGATTATTACAGTCTAACTGTTAAGCGAGTAGAACTTTTTAGGACCAAAGGAGCTGACAGAATTTTAGACTGAGTGTATGCTCTTGTTGAGTATTTTTTGCAGCCTGGTTTTTGCCTGCAGCAGGTTAGATTTGATTGCTGTATTTTGTGCAGGTGTGCCTCCTGTGATATTACTAACATTAATGTTTACTTTTTATTTTGCAGTGGTTGATGAGATGCATGACCATTGATAAATGTATTATAACCATATCTTGGTTTGCATATGTTGAGTGGATTATTAAACTGCGATACTGTACTACATTTCTTGATTTTAGAATAGATGCCTTATTGAAGAATTTGAAAGAGTAATCTGTTTGTATTGGTAGCTTATGGTTTGAAAAGAACACTATGGTTTTCACAGAGTGAACAGTATATTAAATGATATAATAAAAATACTTGGAAGCACTTCCAATATACCTCCATTGTTGATGTCTACTCTCTTGCCAGGTGATGACCCAGTGTTGCAGATTAATCTATAATTGCTATCATACTTTCATGACTTCGTATGACAGCTTTGTTTATTGTTATACATTGGACATTGATATCTATATTTCTTTGTCTGTTTCAGTCCCAGGAGGCTGTCATCAAATGCACACGCCAGGTAAGCTATTCTATGGGAGTATGTGTTTGTGAACACTATGGGAGTATGTGTTTATGAACACTGTGGGAGTATGTATCTGTGAACACCAAAGATTAATCCTGATTTGGTCAATTTATTACCTCATCAGTCATAGTTGAATATAGGCTTGCATCAACACGTCGTAAGGCCAACTGCAGTTGGTTTCTTAATCCCAATCAAATTTAAGACATAAGTCTCCAAGATGTTATGCTTACTAAACTGCATTGATTTCCATATCAACTGATAAGTAAGAAACTGCATGAAATGGCACCTGCTGTTTGTATGTTACCATTTACTATGTACTGGTCTGTTGAGTTAGTGAGCTAGTAGGATTTTTACTTTGCATAATGACGAGATTTACTCCCATTGATTAAATGATTGTCTCATACATTATAAAGTACTCCAAATTGTTAATATTTTAGGTAAGTTAAAAAGAAAAAAAAAATTGGTGAAAAAAATTTGTTCAGATGTACAAACACAGCAGAAAACATGATATTTTAATGACCTGTGAAAAATCAATAAATATGGAACAGTTTGTGATGTATAGATGCATTAGATATTGCCTCCATCACTGATCCACTGTATCATTAGTGATTGAGTAGACATGCTACTCGAGGCATCAGCAACATGACTGGCCTTGGGTTTTTATGGCATGGTGATACACATTATATGCTACATGTTACTGAACAAAGATTGATCAAGCAGTGGAACAGGTGATACAACAGGACTGTGAATGTCAAGGGGAAGATGGCAGTGGTAGCTGAAATGGAATGATTTCTTGTGTATTCATTTGAGATATTGTAACCACTTGTGTATGTTTTAATGTTAAAACGTCGCCATTCTCATGCAGTTGATTTGCTCGTGTTTTAAATTAAGTTTTAAATGTCAAGTTTGTTTATTTTACAGTAACCTGTACAACAGCAGCACTCACTCAGATGAAATATTTGATGATATTGATGGCAACTTTGATGAACTAAATGAAAAGGTTGGTAGAATATTGCCTAAGTATGTTTTCTTTTCAGATTTCAGATGACTTGCTTTATGATCTTTAACTCTTGGGTTTGACTTACTAAGTGCATTTTATTATTTCTAACATTATATCATTTAAAGTTTGTGTGACTAAGTTTTAACTCAATGTTGATGTAGGTTTTTTTCTATATTTCTTTATCCAATTAATGTATTGAAAATATCTTGCAGATCCGCAAACTTGAGTCTCAGATAGGATTATTATCAGAAGGGCAGTTGAAAACTGACGACAAACACAACAAGTTAAAGGATGAAAATACAACTTTAAGAGATAGGTAAGATATGCAAATTGACCAAAAAGTTGCTATTGATCATATTATCAAATTATTTGTTATTAAATATGAAAATGACTGGACAATGGAACAACACAGATCTTGTTGTTTAAGGTTTTTGAGCTAGCTTTTACTAGGCTCATACCATTATTTATTATGTCAGTTTTAATTGACATTGCTGATGTCTTGATTCTATTAAATATTCTGAGTATGTATTAATAATTTAAGGGGATTGTACAAAAATTGGCCATGACATGATGAGCAAAAAACCAAAGCTATATTTGCAGTAGCAGTAACTATGATTTTTTATTTTTATGAAAATTCTTTACATAGGATTGAAGTCAAGTAAGTTATCCCCTAATTTAGACAAAAGAAAGAGTAATCATATGTGTATTCATGTATGCTTTGTCATGTAGCCATCCATCCCTTCTCCTACTGTAATGTTATGTATCCTGCCAACAGCTATTCTGAATGTATTGAATGTTAAATGATTTTAGTCTCAATATTCTTTTGTTAAATGGTATGGAAAATTGTATTTGTTTTTGATATTTATGACTCTCCTGAAAGGTATTAATCCCATTCTATTTTCTTTTGAAAAACATTGCTCATTTGCGTATGGCATGACAAGTAAATGGCTTTCTCATTGAATTAATATTTATTTTAAGCATGACATGACGATTGAAAGAACCTGTCAGATTAGCAAGTCTTAAACATATTTCAAGACACAAAACATAATTCATATTATTTCGTCACAAGTGGATAACTTGTAGCCAAGTTAGTTTGAAATGTTCTCAAGGTCTGACATTGTTATCTAAATAATTTTTTTTTTTTTTTTTTGTTCAGAGGTTTGGCCTTATTATTTAGTTAAGGGTTTCTTTGCTAATTGGAAGCTTGTAAACAATGTATGTGACTTATTTTTCAAAAAATTTATTTTGAAAAGTGGATGTTATGATAAAATAACATACATTTTTCTTCTTTTAGCTGTATTTTATTACAGTGGAAAAGAAATCTAATAAAGAACTGTAAACTCTTCAAGACCTCAAAGAGTCGAGACTGAAATTAAGAGTAAAACATTCCATGACACATTGTTGGTGACCTCACACTGGAATTTCAGGTTGCTCTTGTTTTCAGACCTATGATAAATAAAACATATGCAGTAAGAGGAAATCACTTGATACCTGTGTTTGTGGAGAGTATTATCTTAATTAAATTTTTTTTTTTTTTTTCCTGCAGAGTTCATCAACTAGAAGAACAACTCCGAGATGTTGAAGTAAAGTCTGCCACCCAGCTAACTCAAGAACAGCGAAGATACAAAGAACAAATGGTAAAAGTAACTGTTTTGACTGTTGAGCACACTAACTGTTGGCCTGTGAAATAGTTTGTCAGTCTTGTTTTAAGCAGTGGCCTACTTTAAGTATATCTAAGCTTTAAACAACAAAGTAGAAGAATTGTATTTTTTTAAGTCACACCATATACACCCAAGGAATATTTCAAGTTATCCAGTTTAACTGATCTTATGTCAACAAGAGTTCAGTAATGCATTCAAGATGCTGATCTTTTTCTTTGAATTTGCCTGTTTGTTTTAAAGCGAGGTTTCAGATTGCATTTTAAGTTGCATTGGTCGAAGATTTGAATATTGTTTGTTAATTCAATATTGTAGGCCAGGGCTGAGCGGGAGCGGTCCATAGAGATTGAATCTCTGAATCTTAGGTAAGGATATGATTTCAAGATTGTTTGATTTTAAAAAAAATTAAAGTTTTAATCCTGGCATGTGTAATGATGGGAAAACATGTTTTGTGGGAAATCCTGTGCTGACAATGCTTTTATTTTGCAAAGCAGCCCCCTTGATGGTCCTGCCATTAATCTTCATCATAATCATCTTTTTACTTTGGAATTTTTTAAGAAAATTACAAAACGATTGTTTTACTTGTTTCAGGTTACAACATGTAGAAAAAGAATATCAAGAGGCCAAGGAAGAGGCTCCTAGGTTACGAGTAGAATTAGAGAGATTAAGAAGGGTAAGTATAATAACATGCACATTTCTGTAACAGACATTCATGTCACGCAGGGACTCATTGTGTGTAATTACTTGGCAACTTTTTAGAGATGAGATGAATTCGAAGACTCCATGGAACAGTGAACATTGGGACTTGTCAGGTATTAGGATTTAGGTTTTATGATTCAGAGTTCATTCTCTTGGTTCTTTTTACTTGTCAAACAGAAGAAACACTTTTGGATTAGACCCGAGTCTGCAACTATTGCATTCATGTCAGTTGTTAACATAAAATGTATGTTTTGACAGATTTCTTGTAAAAGAAAATGCATTCTTGTTACTTTTTAAGATTGAAATATTTATATTATCTTATAGGTATCATTCATTATCAAGAAGGGATTGTTGTTCATATTAAAAGTTCTTGTTACAAAGATTTTAACTTGTTCATCCTGAATTTTATTTTTTTTAGTTTATACTGTCATGCCTTAGACTGTTAAGAAAACTATGATTTTTTTCCAGGATAAAGAAGACTTAGAAGATAAACTTCTTGAAAGTCAGGGTGCTTACACAAGCTTACTAGAGGATTACAAAAGACTACAGGAAAAATATCAACTCAGACAAGAGGAATTTGAGCATGAAAGAAGTGTTAGTGCCCAGGTTAGTGGTGAAGTTTTTTTTATTCTTTAACTGTTTTCATTTTTGAACTTAGTTCGGATTAAGAATTAAATAAATGCAAGTTGTGCAAAAACAGTTAAATGAAATATGAATAATTCTTTACACTAGCTTGAACAGTCTTTTCGTGTGACTTATCTCTGAACTTAGATTTTTTTAAAAATTATACTAGCTTGTGCAATTAAAAGGGGCATGTATACTTTCTTTATTAAATGTTGTCACTGCAAGAGAACATTATATTAAGTTCAGCCATAGTTTAGATAATAGAAGCCTCCCTTTGATGTTTTGCACAAATTTTTCATTATGTTTGTAGATGATAGAAGAACTTAGTAAAGAAGTAGATGATCTCAGACGGTATAAACAAGACGCAGAGAAGTGGAAGTTGCACAGATCTTCCAGTCTTTCAGAGACAGAAGGAGGAATAACCAAAGAATTGGAAAATGAAATACATAGACTCCAAGAAGTAAGTCATTCTTTTTTAATCACAGGCATTATTTATTTATAGAAATTAAATAAAACACTGTCATTATAGTAAGCCTCAGCTGTAGTTATTAAATTTTCAGTGAATCACTTTTTGAACCTGTATACAAGATTGTTTTTCAGCTGTTCATCTTCATTCAGTAGTTTGAGTCTACTAACAAAGCATAAAAGCTCAATCTTCAGTAAAACAGAACTTTTTCTGGAGAATACAGCATTTTTTCTTTTTCATCTATTTACAGTCTACCAATAGTTACCTCTTTAATTAGAATAGAACATGTATTGAATACAAATCCAGTTTTCAGCACAGCTGTCCTTACTACCAGCACAGCAGTGGACACTCAAAAGATGTATTTAGTTCAATTTTTTTGCCACAAAAGCCCACCAAATGCCACCATATTATTTCTAATAGTATACCTTAGAGAAATACCAAAAGACGTTTTTCAAATCATCCAAAAAATAATATTTGAAGGGATGTTGTTTGCTTTATTTCTGTGCTTTATGTAAATGAGGCAGATAAGTAGTTCAGTTTGGGACTAAATATTTGAAGGAATTGTGGTTTTAAAACTCTTTTAAGGCTGATTGAGTGATTAATTCAGTATATCCTGTGGCATGTTGACTTTATTTGAGTCATATAAGAAACTGGTTGAAGTGGTGGTTATGCATTACTAGAAAACCATGCTTGCTCTACATGTAACTTTGAACTTATTTATCACTGTCATTTTGTGGCAGGTTTTATGTGCCCTGGTATTATATGTTAAAGTGCAGCTGTCAGGTTGGAAAAGGCACATTTAAATGCTAATGTTTAAATTGTTTATGAAGACAAAAACAAAGGTAGTTATATATGATTATACCATGGTGTAACATAATATTCATGCTGTGGTTAATTATGTCATTTTTTCGGACACCTGGATTTTAATTTTATGGATAATCTATTGCCTTTACACAAATTTCACATAGACCATAACTTACCCATATTCTCTTTTTGAAAAAAAAATTAAAAACAGAAAAAATTAAAATAACTACAAGAATAAGGTGGTGGTGCCATTATATGTCTTTAATATGAGAGACAAATAGAGAAAACAATTACCATTGGAAGTGGATTTCCTCCCAATTATTGCAGGAATAACTAGGATTTGTAACATGCTCTGTTATGAAATAGATATGGGTTAGTTATATCATGCCCTCTTCTCTGACTGTTCATCAAATGTTTAACCTGTCTTTGGTTTGTATGCATGTGTTAAGTAATTGTGTGGCTAGACATGGATAGACTGCATGAAATACTATGCTGGTTTTATTACGTGACTCATTTCACTTGGTGTACAACAATATTGTCATATGAATAATTAAAACAATAGATAATTCATAATAAGAATTATAGAGATCAGGTAGAGAGGCACTTTAAGTTCTCAATTGTGTCCATTGGAAAGATAATTAAGTGGCTGGATGACCAGTCCTAGCCAATCAATCATAGTCCCAATGAACAAAGTGGACACAAATTCTTACGTAATTTTCACCTGCCATATGCAGGTAATTTAAAGCGTCAGGTGTAGCTGGCTTATTTCTTTAAGATAGTGTACTAAATGAACCCAATAGCTTCTTTGTTCTGTAATTAGGAAGTCAGGCATTGGAACTGCTTTTTTACCTAGAAAAGTTAAAAAAAGTCTTTATCTTAAAAAAACACATGCCACATGTGTTCTTGGCTTCCTGTATAAATGATCCAAATGTGTACTTAACAGACTTGACTGAAAAGTTGCATGTTTACAAAGCTTTTGTCAGTCCAAAGTAAAAAGATGCTTGTAACTATTTAATATAACATTCAACTCCATATATTAACAAATATTCCCCAGTTGATTGCATTGATTATGTGAAATTAAACCATGTGGAAAAACTAAATAATTAATTTGAATTTGATTATTTAATGTCTCAGTATAAGCTAATATATATGTTAATGTTTGAAGATTTCTTTTGTGATATATTTTAATGATATGTTTAATATTCCAGGAAAACAAAGCTCTCCATGAAGTAAACGATGACCTGAGTGCCCAAGTGATGCATCATAGGATAGCTGAGGGCCAGAGTCTTCTGAATGGAACCAGAGATGGACAGTCACTGGCAGCAGAGATTGAGGAATTGTCCAAAGATGAGGTGAGGATAAGGAATGTTTTCATGGGAAAAAATGTGTGTGTGTGTGTGTGTGTGTGTGTGTGTGTGTGTGTGTGTGTGTGTGTGTGTGTGTGTGTGTGTGTGTGTGCAGGGATGAGATTTTTCCAACTTTTGGCAGATTTCCGACTTTTTGGGAGCCAAATTATCATTTTTGAGATCAATGCAGATCTGTTGTAAAGAAAAGGGGGGGGGGGGGAGGAGGTCTGGACCCCATGTCATATTATCAATCTTTCTCACAAAATAGCAGTCTCATCCATATGTATATACATTTTTAGGAATTTTCAAATGATATTTAGAGACCTTGTAAATTTCATATTAGGGAATGAGACAGAAGAAAAGGGTGTGGTTTAAAGTTAACAAAATTTGTGTAAGCAAACAAACTCAAGTAGTTGTTTCCTCAGTATGGACTCCTCAGTGTGCATACACGTTTGTCATCTCAAGGGCCAATTAGTAACATTTTACATTTTGTGGTTATACCACAGTTTTATCTCAGTAATCTGCATCAGATAGCCAGTCGTGCTAAATAATGAATTTTGATTGGAATGATGAGGTATTAAACTGGTAATCTGATCCTACTCATATCACCTATTATGTGTATGTGAGGTACCAGTTTACATCATCTGGCTTGTCAGCTAAAATAAATATCAAACCTGTATGTTACTGTCTCAAGGTGTACACACTGAGAGATTTGTTTTGAGAGAACTTGAAGCAGTATAATAACACATTGTGAGCTTATCCCTCTTTGACTGATATATAGATGTAGAAAGCATGACTTTGGGATATTTTGAAATGCAGATAGTATACCTTTAGGAGGAGGAGGAGAGAGAGAGAACATTAGATATCTTGTAAGACATCTCTCAGACACCATCTTGGCAATATTGATTTTTGTCCCTTTGCTTTATGTGTCCACCTGCCATTTCTCTTACTGTTATTGAAGATGAGCAGTCAATATGTCAATGTTTTAATTGAACGAGATAATTCATTTTAGTCTTTGAGTTGTAACTTGATACTGCTATTCTACAAAGATGTTGAGAAGTGTGATATATTTCTATGTAATTAAGGGTATCAACTCAAGATCAATATTGATAATTGGATTTTTATTTCCTTTAAGTTTGCTCTTTCGGAAAAAGAGATTGCCCTTTATAGGAAAAATAGACTGTTGAAATTCAGTAGTTGTGGTTGTGTTGCAAGCTCTTGTTTAGTATTAAATTTTCTGGAATGCATTTTAGATATTTGTATTGTGTAATAACAGTATTATTAGTCCACTCTTGTAACTGGAGTTGATCTACTTCAGTTAAGGGTCCTGCTTTAAGCGATTAAAATTTACTTTTATTTTCCTTTGGTGTTTCAGCTTATGCAAGCCTTGAAAGACCAACGTGATGTCAATGCTGCACTGAGGGAATATGTAGATAGGGTGTTATTGTCTATTATTGAGAACAATCCATCCATATTGGAAATCAAGCCAACGAAAAAATGAAGACGGCAACCAAATCAGTCATTTAACATTTCAAGTGATGCCACCTTACTGGGACTTGGAGAAGGATTTTGAATTTATGCAGTCCGTTGCAAATGGTAAAAGATGTGGCAAACTTGTAGGGCATATCAACAAAAAAGACATTTAAAAAAGACATGAGATTATATTTCACAGAATTAGATCAATACACCAACAACCACCTTGGTTTTTTAGATCACACATATAAAAGAAATTGGTAAAGTAAGCACACAAGTGATATAATGGCTCATTTTTGTATCAATGATGTACGGATTACAGCTCAATACTTAGTGCTTATCAGTCTAAGAGATCCCATCTCAACAATGAAAGCCATTAGGTATTGCATTACTTTGGAAAGTGTATTCTGTTTGATTGCTTCTGTGCATCCTGCCAGCCTAGACACAGGCCTATTGATGTGATAACCACACTCCAGGTGACTTGAACAGAAAGGATTAGAACATATCAATGAACCATGTGCATTACGTGTAAATTGCTTCATTGAAAGGCTTTCTGTGACCTGCGCAGCATTCCCTGGGCACCATATCACTGGGGTACTTTTCAAATGTGGGGCAAAAATAGAAGATTATAGTTCTTCAAGTTATTATTGCCCTAGATTTTTATTTTAATTTCACGTCCAGATTATGTCGGTGATTGCCTACATTCCAAGTGCAGAACAGTTATTTTCATACCAGATTGCTTCATTACATGGTCTATTTCTATGCTGTGTAATTTGCACTGTCAGTGAAGCATAGCAAAAGCTGCTGAGGTGGAACACAGTTGAAAAGCTCAATTTAACCTCAATCCAGCACTAACTATGAGTCAACTTCTTGTGAGAAAACACAAGTTAATGGTAACTAATAATCTATAGGCAATTTTCTTGGTGTTAGAAATACTAATGTATGATATCTGTCTGGGTCACATGGCTTGTGAAATATTTTCATGTAAGCAACAGCAGTGAGATATTATACTATTGCCATTGAGTTTCTGATATTTTCCCATGGAAAAAGTAAACATATTCAAGCACAGACACTCGTGTGTTTTGATACATTGAGCTACTTTTGTCTGTGTTTTTGTCATTGATTCCTCTTTTGATAATGAGAAATGTTTCTCTTTTACTAAGTGTAGATTTTGAAAGCTGCCACATAAAAGAGTATATTTACAAAACAGATACACTCTTACTGCCATTATGGATTTCAATTTCACTTCATTTATTTGCTGTATACAAAGTTTTCTGTGTATGCATTGTCAGAGATTTTTTGATATTTTGCCATAAATTGCTAGTGATTTTGGTAAATGTTTAGAAAACTTTGCACCACATATTGCAGTGCAACCTTTTCAGTAAATTTGGTAATTTTACTCTCTCAACCTGTTTCTCATATCTCAATTGAATGGTACTTTTAATAGGCGTCTGTAGCCAAAGCACTAGTTACATGACTGATTTGAACAAGTGAAACGGTGAAGTGATTGTTACAAAAATCTTTCATATAATACTAAATATGTATTTGGCAGCATGGCTGCTAAGTTTCATTAACAGACATTCATTCATTTTATTTACAATATAAACCTGTATGATTATATTTGTATATATAAGCTACTAGAAAGGGGTGCTATATGAATATTTATGTATATACAAGTTTTATTCAATTCTAGTAATTTATTGCTGAGTTTTAGCAACATCAGTCATTTGGTAGAACAGTTTTATGTATGATTTTAAGCTTATGTGAGTGTGGGTGTGATATTTAGTGTGTGATATTGTATCATGTAACTTCAAATGTAAGAGTTGATGAGAAAGTTTTAATGGAGTAGATATCAGGTTACTGATTGCATGGAAAATGGTTTTTAATGTGCATTTTTTTCAGAAATGCTAATTTGATAAGCATTTCTGCTCATTAAGCACCGAATCAAGATCTCATTACCTACATCTTTGGGTGATTCATTCAAGTGTCATTTGTTTTTAATTTACAACAAAACGGAATGCTATTGCTTGTCCTAATTTATAAATATTTTTGATAAAGAATGTTGCTAAATGGAAATAAGTTGTTAGATAGTTGTTTATCATCATTACCAAAAAAAGTACTTTCAACTATTCCATAATGTTGCAGCATATCTGGAAAAATACATTTTCATCAAATTTGGAAGTAAGGAGTGATCAGGACTGTAAAAATTAAAGCATTATTAATTTTTATTTATTTATTATTATTATTTTCATATAAAAGTCTGTTATGCACTAAAATAATGCTTTTCATTCTTCGTACTTATTTGAACAGTGTGTATATTAAATGTTAAACATTCAGGAAAAAAAGATTGGCATCCCTGTCTTTCACCAATAAAACCATCCTATTAAAGTTCATCCCAGTTGTTATGTTCTGAAGAGAGGTTGAAATGTCAGTCCATTCATTCCATTCATTAAAAGACCATATATGATATTTTCATTTGGAGTTATAATTGTGTTTTGGGGACTTGGTCTGGGCAATGTGGATTCCAAATATAACACAAAAGTAAGGTTTTTAATTTGTAACAGCATTCAATGCATGTTATCCCTATCTGTTTACCTTTGAATCATTTCAATAAGAGAGCAACGTATAACCACATACGCGAGATATAAGAGATGTAGTGTTGACATGGATCTCCCTGGTGACCCATTGATATAGATTATTTGAAAACCACATATCAGAACTGACCAAGTTTTAGATAATACCAACATTACTATTTCAATACAGGGAGACCCTTTACTCTTTTTCAGGCCAAATTAGGGCGCAGTCTTGGTCAGGCTTTTCTTTCAATCATAAAATAAGCACATTTCAAAGTTACAGTCTTTGCCAAACTTGACAGAAAAAGCTTGAATAACAGATTTGTTTTTAATTTAATTGCTACTCCAAAATGACAACTGATATCAGACAGGGTTGGAGGTACAACAGTAAAATGTGAAGGAAAACATCTAACTTAATAATTCAACATTTGTTCCAAATGATTGATATCAAATAGGCAACCTGTCCCCAGTAGTAATCAGAAATGAGTAATTTTGAAATCCCTTGGACCGTCTTATCAGATAAATAAGATAAAATGATGAGTGTATTGATCTGCAGTTTTCATCTGTGTTCACACTGCTAGGTTCATCACACGTAGACCCCTTGTTTAATACGCAGGTTGGTGAAAGAACATTGGTAATTGATAACAGAATACAATTAACAATGATAAATAAAAAAAATTGAGGGCTAGAATTATTGGTTTTTTCTTTTAGATACATTTTCATGGTTAAATCTAGAATTGTCAATACAAATTAAATAAAACATTTTGAACCTATGAGTTTAGTCTAGTTGACAACGTCGAGTATCCCTCACTGAGACTTTCGAGAATACAAGTGGAACTGTTCTGCACAGTAGTGTCAAAACTATAATTTCTGTTAATAATCCAAAAGTTTGTTGTACCCCAGTTGCAAAACCAAACTATGGAACTGGCAGTTTTAAAAAGACAACAGCAAATAAAAACAACAACAATAATAATAATAATAATGAAACTTACAGTAAAAAAAACGTAATGTGCCGATCAACATGTTTTAGATTGTTTTATTCCCTTTTGGTTAAAGTTAAAAGCTGTCAGCATTAAACTCATTTAATAAAGAAATTATAAAAACGCCATTAAATTTGTTTTCTATCGGTCAGTTACGAGGCACAAATCCAAGATCAATAAGTAAGATGGATTTTTGATTACGTTTTTTCACTCTTATCACACTTACAATTGGTATTCTGTAAGATCAGACAAGTTGAATAACTCGGAAAGACAACGTTTTTGAAATGTCAAGAGACCTTGTCATTTAACAATGTTGTTCCAAGTGGTCCGACTAAAAGCATATGTGTCAACACAGACGGTCGTGAACTATTGATTATTTCTGGACTCAAACATTGTGAAAACCCCGGTACACCAAATGACCACAAGAAAGGACATCTGCCTCACATCCATTATGTGTAAATTATGAATTCATAAGTGAACCTAAAGAAAGGCCATTAGTGACATTGCAACAATATACTGTAGGAACAAACGCTAAGCTTTCTGGCAAGTGGATCTGGTGTAAGGAAATCAATAATGTCCGTGCAGAAAACAAAGGCTCTGCAGTTGTTGGGACTCTAGCTTAAATGTTTTGATTAAATTTCCCAACTTTCCTTTGTTTCCCTGACTGGACAGACTCTCCCTGAAATAACTGATGCTTCGTACGGTATCTGTTTCGATCAATTTTGCTTATACCTACCATCCACATACGACGAAAAACGAATTATAATCTAAAAACCAACGCTGGATCATTACCTGTATTTTATTTTAATTAGACCCAATGCTAGATGCTCTCGACCCATTCTTTGAAATTATTTATTGTCTTCTTTTATAAGATTGCATCTAAATTTGAACAGTCCCAATGACGCACGCAAAAGTGTGGAGACGACCTTGCGCTATTGAAAGGACTATACTTTAAAAGTTTTAAGTCACAGGAATATAAAGTTTTCTCCAAAGATTGTAGTCCTTTTTCTGCATGCTGTGCTGTCCATGCGTTCTAATAACGACACCTGCTTTCAGGTTGTTCCCAATACTTTCAGTTCAATTTTCTCTCTTTCGGCTACTTCTATCTTTGTCTTCTTAGTCTTTACTCTGTGTAGTCTTCGTCCTGTCTTTCCCCTCTTGCTCTAGGTTCATGGGATTTAACAGTATCCTGTAACGCCAAACCAGCGGTAATTCTAAACTTAATTCCCTTTTTCCTTGCCGAAGTAAGCCTACCGGTCGGTAATTTTAGAAGATAATCACACGAGAGACAATTTATCAAAATCGTCCAGATGCATGGTCATTGAAAAAATAATTTGATGGAAAACGCCTCTCACAAAAATCTCTGGTTGGGTTACGATGTTAAACTAATATGTACCTACTCCGTAATAGAATTGTATTAACCACAAAGACAAAACCGGGCCAGCGCCCAGAAAAACTCAATCAAACCCATTTTAAAAGCCAAAAATAGATATAGGCCTAATCCGAAGTCTATTGAATCGAAGCCTATTTTGCATTATAGGCTTAATTGATGTTTTAAGAAAAAACGTTAATTTGGCATATACGAAAAATTGCAAAATAATAAAAAAGTATAGGAATAGGCCTAAATAGATAAGTGAACAATTACACTTTAGTGTAATTAAACGAGATGTTTACAAGAGTCCCGTTCAGAAAGTTACATTATATGTGTTTCTGATATCCTAAATGGCCTTTGTATCTAGATGATCTAACTGATCTGATGGTGATAGCCTAGGTCTACGTAGGCTAGGCCTATGTACATGCTAAGATCTAATAAACGGTATATTAGATCTTAGGTACATGTATGCAAAATATTACACATTTTAAGGTCTCTCCAGCCATTTTAAAAGTATTTTAAGTCAAAGTAAAGTCAATTATCGGCAAAGTTCTCTCGCTCAAACATTTTTTGGAAATAGGCCTTTTATGACATACAACCCTCGGTACCTAAAATGATGATAGTTAGCAGGCCCATACACTGTATGTATGACATGTATGGCAACGTTCTGCATTTAAAAGATTTTTTAATCTTAAAAGTGTCTACAAAAACTAAACTGCATGGTGAGTTATTTTTCACAGCTGTTTCCATATAAATGTTAGTTATATTTTAAGACATTTGTTTTAAATAACGTAAGATGTAGGGCATGATCGCTTTTCATTCTTTTTTTGCGTTTACATCGACACGTGCATCACATGAATGAAAGCTACCAGAGTCGTTTGATTGGTTTATAATGACATCATAAAATTTGAATGGCCACGTGATCGCACCTGCTACCGTCCGTGTATCCTTGACCTATATGGTAAAAAAAGTAGTTCGTATAATTTACCCACATAATCAATGTAATCAAAGCTATGACGGAATAATATACATAATTTCTGTGCACAAAATGTATATATTATAGCGATTTTATGGAGAATACTATTGATTATATAAGTGAATATCTGTGGTTTACCCGGCATCACGCGCACGTGCATCATAATTATTGAGCACTTCGGCTATATCATTTGTTCCTTGTGGTACAGGCGGGGATCTGAACGGTGAGAAGGGAGTAGCTGTATAACTAACCAAATTCTCGCAACTCCCCAGGGGATTTTGCAAGTTTTTCTGCAGTATTATTACGGGTATGTACAAATGATATTGACTGTAAATTCGCTTCAATTTCTAAAGCTGCTAACTATGGAAACATTTATTTATATTGGACCGTTCCATTGTGAAGGGAGACCCGACTTTCGTAAATACACACGCTGATCGGCTTTCTTTCTTTTCCAGACCCCTAAACCACAGAGATGTTAAAGTTTCTGCAGAGTAAATTCGGGGGTCGACATCACTCCCACAGGGAATCTGAAGCAAGAATCAAGCTCCAGAAGGAATTGTTTGCATTTAATAAGGTAACGGAAACCCCATGCGGGCCCTGTCTCAATGCACGCGACACTCCGCGGCCATTCTATTTGACTTGAAAGCTGTGATGAGTCATCAGCAAGCTGTGTCAGTGTTGTTTGTAAGGTGTGAGATTGTAACGCGTCTGTCTGGTTGCCGGATGATAGACTATTGGATAAAAGCGACACTTTTTTGTTGTCTAGATCAGGAAAATGTGTCGAAAATGCTTGCACCCGCCCTTGAAAGAATTCAAAACATTTTTGTTTTGGTTGACTGAAAGCAGGTCACTTGAAATATGTGCAAAATACATCTTGCCAGCATAAGTCCTTCTAGACATAGAGAAGTTTAAAGTTCATCAAGCTGTTCTGAACATTTTTAAAATGTATTTTGCCTACCATTTTTTATTCCTCTGTTTAGTGTACCTCTCATGGATTTCCGTCTCATCCAAGTGCACTTGCATATGATCCCAAGCTGAAACTCCTGGCCATTGGCACCAAAAATGGGGAATTAAAAGTGTATCCTTTGTGAAACATATCTCATATATAAGCATTGTTATACTTAGGTACTACATTTTTGTTATGCAAGTTGAAAACTTAATTTTTGCAATTTTTATTGATTCATCATTATATTTTCTTGTCAGAAATTGAATTGGTTCATCCATTTCTTCAACATTTTTATATGACTACTTGAGCAAGTTATGGTGACGTGGTTGCAAGAACTCCATACATTATTTACCTGGGTTGGTCTTAAAAAGATTTTTATCTTATCATAAAAGGCATCATGTGCACAACAAGGATCTACTGGTCAGAAATAACGTAACTTGCCAAATTGGGCTTAAGGGTTTAATATGATTTATTGTCGCAATGATCATATAAACAAGTCAAGGCCTCCTTTTAATTTTGCTGTCAAAGTTGGAAGACAGAGAGGTTAAATTTGAATTGCAAAGAGACCAATTAGTGCCGCTTGATAATTGCATGCAACACATGGTTATTTTATTTCCTCAGTCAATTTCCATACCTGTTTGCAGGGCCTGTAATTGGTATTTAATTGTTTAAACCACTGGTCATTTAAAGTGGACCAGGAGATAATATCTGCCACAGGCAATGTAGAACTTATTTGCATCAGGTATATGAAATTGGCCGATGAATGAATTGCAGAAGGTCTTCCTTCTTTGTGAACTTCATTCCACTATTTTATTGTATTTTACATGGTGTATCCTGTTTTTAAAGAGGGTTGAATGTTTTCTGGTTAGCTGAGTGGGTAATTGTGGGTTAGGATAGGTATGAGGGTTTGAGGTTGTAGATTCACTCAAACCATAGGCAAATGCCTTTCCGATTACAGTAATAAATCCTATCCTGGTTATTTTAAAGATGGTCATAGTGTGTGGAGCAAGTAGCTAGATTTCTACCACCATAATCAACTCCTACGACAGGTAGAATATGCTGATATAGATGAAGGATTGGAATGCCCTGTGACAATACCATTAATGGCAGTGTGAATTACCCTTACATAACCAGAGAGGTGGGCTGCCCTTGTTATTCCATTGCTGTGTCTATTTATTACACATTCTTCCCCCCACATGTTAGCAGAGTCGCTGCCACCAGAAATATTTCTGTTATGTGTCAGTTGACAGTGGTTCTCTTGTGTCCTTGATACCCTACCCGTTATATTAGAGCATTGGTAGCAACCCATAGTCATTGATAGGAATGTACTCAAACTGGTAAAATTGCCAAGATGTTGTGTTGTTGATTAGTCATATTTATTACTCATATTCAATTGTTTTCCAGAACCACCTCGATGGTGGCATTGTCAATAGGGCTAAGTGGTGGGGGATAATAGATAATAGGTTCAGTATACCATACCTCCTCTGGCTGCTATCTGGATGCCATGTGATTATGGTGATTACCACGTTTCATAGCCCGGTTATCAAATGTATTTCATGTACAATTTCTCATTCAATTTAATGACAAAATAATTTAAGGGACCTTAATTTTTATTTCCCAGTACACATTTGTGCTGTTGATAGTCTAAGAGTAGTCACCTCCCGAACAAAGAACCAAATAAGTGTTCTTTTGCATGTTGTGTCCAGTAGCAGCTGTCTCTGCACCAGGTGTGCAGGACTGCTGATTTTATCACACCTGTGTTGTGCCTGTGCTACTTAGTGCCAACAAACAATATATTTCCAGTGTTGATTTTTGAACGGAAAGTGGAAGATGATAGGATTTACATATACTCTATTTTATAATTATTTGATTAATTTTGATCAATTTTTGGAAATGGAATTTGCTACATTTTAAGAATTGTATAGCGTTCTTTTTTATACTCTATTTAAATCTAACCTGAGGAGACCTTTTATTTAATTTTTTCTGGAAACTTTTCCCCTACTTTGTTGTCCTCTCCTTCAGACCATTCTTCACAATGTTGTGAAATCAATGGAGAGGGAATGTTATAGTAATTCTTTTAATTCTTTTAAAATTTTGGTTTTTGGCGGTTGAGCAAATAGTATAGCGAGAATGAGGTTACCGTTTGTGTAGCTTAAGTGCATTGTTGTTCCTCATTTACCTGTTTGCTTGTTTATGTTCTTCCAGGACTGTTTTCTTTCAAAACTGGTTCTGAGTTTGTCCAGTTCCAGCCAGACTAATGTTGTTGGATGCAGTCAAGCTGCATGAGTCAGTATTGTTGCCAGTCCTTACATAAGCCTGACAAAGCCATATATAATGTTAAATAGGAAGCATTTCAAGTTGTGCATACAAATGTCTCGGTATTTCACCACAAAATAACAGCCCAAATTTGCTATTTTGTTTTTGTGATTTCTTAAACGGATTGACATTGGTTTTGTCAGTGTAGCCTGTAACAATAGAAACGGATGGGGAGTCTGAAATCAGAACATGAGAAAGATAAACTCCTTGTGAACAGCCTCTGTGGCACACACAGGTGTCAACTGTAGCCCTTAAGTTGTGTACAAATGAGTCATAGCCAGGTATGAATCACAGGTAGTATTGATTTGCTAAGTCGTCTGCTCTAAGTCTGGGCTTTGAGCACTTCCAATAAATAACCGTCTGGACTTGAGCTAGTAAACCAGCATGATAGCTGCTTAACAAATACCCCCTACTTTTCAGTCAAAATAATTTTTAGGCCAAACCAATGATAAAATGGTGAAATTTACCCAGCAGTGTTTGATTATCTTTATGGAAGTCAATTTTTATCAGCCTAAGAGTAAATCTTGTATTCCACCATCGGCTCAGACAGCCCAGATGAGAGTGACAGTGTTCACAGGGGTCAGGAACTTAATATATCATAAAATCAATACTAATATCTTAATCCTACTCCACTGTTATCGAGGACCGGGAAGGTAGTGTTTACCTATGACCTGATAATAAGAGGGTGTTTGACTCCTATTTTCAGAGACCCACTTTGTTTAATGAGTTAAGTTTTTGACTGCTAACCAATAAACCTGAGATGAGGTGACTTTTTTGTCCATTGTTTAGATTTTCTTTAAGGTAAAGAATTGTTGACATTGGTTGGAATTGCCTTTCGGTATATTTGAGTGTTTGTTAGTTACTAATGCTCATACAGGCAAACTAAATGGGGGTTAAATTTGACAATGATGATATTTGATGTCCTTAGAGAGTGAACAAAGCTATCTGACATTGGTTTGGAAATGGCTTGCAAACATCTTTTTGGAAGTTGACAATAATTTGTTCTACATGTGGTTTTGACTAATATTTTGTCAACATTACATGTCTGATCTTATTTCAGGTCGTAAGTTTCATCTACAATTGGGCATTGCTCTGTACATATACAGCACTTTAGAGATTCAAAAGGAGTATCAAGATAGGAGGGATGTTTATTTCATCTTGCTCAGCGCTTTGCTAATCCGTACCGATCTGTATTTATTTGCACTTTACTAATGTAAATTGCTGTCTTGAATCGGAGATTATCCTTGTCTGTCAGGTTATCCCTTTGTACAGAGAATATTTACCTTGTGTTAAATAGGTACTAGAGTTCATTGATTTCTTTTCTACCAGTCAACTTAACTGATAATTATAGGTTAGTATTAAGCTTTATACATGCCATTTGCCATTGTTTATGTGCACAAGCTATTTTGCAAATCAAAGCTGTGCGAGCAGCAGCTTACCATTTTTCACCACTGTATAATAAACTTTTGCTTTTAGTTATGTTTAGTTTGTTTCATTTGAAATAGTTAATTTTGGCCACATGGCTTTTAAGATAGATATTGTAATAATAGTACTTTTTCCATTATAAAAGTACTTTTTAGGTCCAACTCTTATCAAATTGCAGTGCCTGGACACAGACTGTAGGATTTCAGTAGATGAGATTATGATGCCATTAACTGGCTTTAAAACCAATTATGTATGTATTGTGGGAAGTGACATCGATTCCTTTTCCATGCTTTGGCTGGAAGATGTCTACCTTCAGACATCTGTGCATCCTATATTGAGCAAAGCACAAGGTGTTCTGTGTATGTGCAGCTTGGATAATATGCCTTCTTTAGTGTTATTCTTCCATGTCAGTACACTTGGTTAAAGTGCTCAGTGTAGCTGGCAGATTGGGTATGAGCCAATGCATTTTGTTATGAGAGTTAAAAACTTGGAACAATGACACACATTGGCTTTTATTCCGCAACAGGAGATGGGGGGAAATCTATGCCGCAGGCCTTGATTACTGCAGGCATTCTGTGTGGAAATGTACTTAGTTTTGAGAGTAGATGCCCTCATTGGTAAATTTTTTTCACTAAATGACCAGATTTATTCACCAGTGATTTTAATGTCAAGTGTGAAAAGGGGTTTCCTCTGCGATCTCTATTGCGGTGAAGCTGTCCAACAGTACTACTCTTAAGATAGCAGCTAAATCTCACCACTGCTACTTGTTTTATCCTTAGCATGTGGGTGGATCTTCTTGGCCTTATCAGCTCTTGGAAGTACTCTCTTGTATGCCTTACTTGATTTAAAAAAAGAAATGCTGTGCATATTGATCCACTTTCTTCCTTGTTGTTTCCATTCTCCCGGGGGGCTTCTGACATTATGAAGAAGGTGGGTGTGAAAACCCAACCTCATGTAGCCTGTGTGTGGGAGTGCAAACACAGCAAGAGCAAATATAAATGATCAGATTTCATTATTGATTGTGTCTGAAAATCATGTCTGAACATCTCATATCTGTCCTACATATTGGATGTCCACCTCTCCAATATGTCTGTTGCTATTGCCGACTTTGCAGGTTTTCTATTCATGTCATATATCTTTTGTAAATAAGTTGGCTCTTTTAAAAGTTTTCCTGACCCACTAATCTGTTGCCAAGGACAGAACGTGATTGATGTGAAAATAAACTTAAGTTTGAGATAGGTAGTTGCTGTGTCTGGATAAGTGCACTCTTGAAGTGTGATTAACAGACAGGCTTGTGTAGTCAGGGTCTTGTTGATCTCCAAGTATAATGTAATAAAAAGGCAGGAATGATCCATCAAAATTTGAACTGAATATTTTAAGTTAGGTCTGTATTATGTCTGCTGAAGTAGAATGATCTTGTTCGCAGACATTGGATTAGATGTATAATTTGCAATCCTTTTATACATCTACCGCATTAAATGATCTTCATTTTATATTCCTGTGGAGGTAGACTGATCTTGCTTTAAAACTTTTAAGCAAATGTCATGGAATATTATGTTTAAGTCTTTCACTTTTTTTGTCTAGGTGACCTAAAACCATCTGCTTAGGTAGATCAGTTGGTGCTATCCATTGATTTGATGAAAAGAAATCTAGTGAAGAAAAAGCATTTCCACAAAACCTTAAGTAATAAGTTAATGTTGTCATGTAGTGTTACACTGTCAGGCCTGCTGATTCGGTGTCTGGGTTACATAGTTATGACAGTTACCTGATTGGTTCACAGCATTACCTCGGTACTCCCAGCTGCGTTTGAAATAAATGTCAGTGTGCTCTCTTTGATAACTTGGAGGAGCAATTGGCACTCATGCAACGGTAGGATGTATGGACTCTTTCAGTCTACGTAAATCATCCTAACATTGACTTCTGTTATTCAATGTTCTCACCGAGGGTACTTTTAATCAGTTTTTTTTTGGAGTAATTGACTGAGCGTGAGCAGCAGAAACTTCAAATTACGGATGTCGGTGAGAGTACTTTAATCTTCCTGTCTGTTTTTGTTTGGTAAAAGTACATATGGTCACTTTTTATGATCTTGTTTTTATTAATGCATATTTTCATGTGGTTTAAAAAAGTATGCATCTGTTGTATGGCATCAGTCTTCTCAGAATATTATCTTTTATCGCAGAATTTGTTCAACAGTATTTAAAAAGTTTTTTGGGAAAAGTATTTTCCTTGACCACTGCCCCTCAGATATGGAAGCCCTGGAGTAGAGTTCTCTGGACAGCATGCCACTGATGCACCAGTCACCCAAGTACTCTTTCTACCTGGACAGGTAAGTTAGTCAATATTTTAAAAAGAAATATTGTCTTTTCATGTTTATAATCTGGTGAAGTGGACATGTTCATGCTTAATCTCTAACATAATCTGCCATTATTGAATGTTTTAACCAGGTTCTTGAAACAGGCTCCCTGGTTTTCGTTGATGATCTCAAGTGATTGAATGATATATAGATTTGTTCTCTTGTTATTTACACTAATAAATTTTTGTTTCTTGACAATGCTTGGTAAATAACCAAAAACATCCAAGTTATTTGCTAGTTGGTGACCAGACTTGATTATGATTCAATATTTAATTTGACTACAGTTATGGTGATTTTCTGTTCTTTCCAGGCTCGTCTCATTACCCTGTGTGGTGATAACACCCTCCACTTGTGGGAGATCAACATAGAAGAAGGAAAATCTCTTCTGCAGAAAGTTAGAACGTTTGACCAGTTTGCCTCAGATGGAGGGTAAGCATAGGCCTTTTACAAATAATTGGGCAGGGAAAGGCATTTTCTCGATTAAAAAAAAATGACCAAGTGAAGGTTGGCAGTGAATAAGACATGTTTGTACGGGGTTTTACAGAACAAGACTTTGAATTTGATATATCATAATCAAGATTTGGGAGTTAATTTGTAAATACATCAAGATATGGATCTTAAAAAAAGAATGCAGTTCTCGTGCTGGCTGTTTTTCCATGTATAAATGTCAATTAAATGTTGTTTGTCTCAAGTGCAGTAAACCTTGAATAGTTATCTCCATTTTTTATGGACTCCTCCCTTAAAAGAGATAAGTAAATACAGTTTATGTTGGATGCAGTAGAAAGGAAATCTTGCCTGATAAACCTAAATCAGTAAACATGGACCAATTGATGCCTTGTTGAAGTACATTAGTGTTCAGCTTGTCTATGAGGTTTCAGTTTTGTTAATTCTGTATTTAAGTTTGATGGTCAGTGGTCATACATTTTTCTCTATGCACAAGGCTAAAGAAGTATTTTGTCATTATTTGTTGTGACAAAGAATGGGTTCTTTCTCACAGCAAATTGTTTATTTTTTGAATAAATCAATTATTTTATTACCACAAGATGCAGCATAATTCAAATTAAGTAATGTCAACTCTGATAGCATTGAGACACTATGAACATACAAAATTTATGTCCTGTATATCTATGTATACGTAAGTTGATACTGTGACTATATATGTGTAGAATTCTCCACACAAATGAAAAGATACAGGATGTTTTTTTAAGACTGTACAGTTATGTCTGAATATACTTATGAATGGTAGTGCACATCCGTGTGGGAGTTTGGGCAGCTTTAACTAATCTAGATCTTGATCAGTGTGTCCTTCATATAGCACTTGTATTACTAGCATACTTATAGTGGGTGTAGTATGGAAACCTTGACTTGGCACAATAATTGTTCTGCGAAGTGGTCATTTCACAAAGCTATGATAAAGTACCATACCTTTTGGCATAGGGAATGTGGTTATTTGTGGAATGTGTGTACAGACATCTTCAGAGTACAATGCTAAACAACTGAATTATATAGTGTAGATAACATCACAATATCCCACCATTCTGCCTGCAAAGTAGAAGAATACTAAATGATTTAATTTGCCTCAAGGCATTTTAGCATCATATTACTTTAATGAATACAAATTTTTTTACCAATATTGTTGATATGTGTTAAATGGATTTTTACTCAAAAATATTTTTAACAATTTGACTAAATATCAACTTTGCAGTGTGGATCTCCAGTTCATACACATCGGGGAAATACCCAGCAGTCACGAACTGCTTTTCATTCCACAACTCCTGTTAATGTTTCCTGTATTCATTTACATGGATGAGGATTAGAAGCTCCTATTGGCATGCATGTAATGCCATATTAGAAAAAAAATGGCCTGTTTTTCTTGTACTGCAAAGACCAGGCATTTATTAAGACAGTAGTAGAGTGATAACAAGGTGGAAGAGGCTTTCAATTATGTGGAGTGATCTTTGCATGTGTTCAGCCCCAAGCAACTTATCAACATCAGTATGATGCTAAATCTGTCTGTTTGATACAAAATTGGCTTGAAAAATGCTTGCAAAAGTACTTATATGACTAAAAAAATTGATAAATCCCTGAGTAAATGTTTTTGCTAAACATATGACGAAGTTCTAATTCGTCCATATTTTACATTTAGAATGAAACTAATATTTTGTCACATGGCAGATAACTGGATATAAGTAAAATCTCTGTGGCCATATGCTGTACAGTAGCCAGCATAAATCTTTGAGATGGTGTATGATAATCAGTCATGTGATGGACCTGCCAAGTGAAGGCAGCACTGATAGGGAGGGAAATGAAGATTGAAGACCCTTCATAGTGAGCCCCAGCACTGGAACAGATGCACTATTGATTCTCTGCTACCTGTGTTTATCATGCTGTGTCTGCTCTCCCATTGCCCAGACCACTGGCATGTTCCTATCAGGTTTAACAAAAACCTCGTTAAGGTCCAACTCCTAGAAGCAGGTGCTTGATTACTATAACTTCTGCTATCCTGCTATAGCCACCAACATTCAGTGTGTCGACCATTCCACTCATATATCAGGCCTTAAAGATGGGTTGATATTAAATGAGTGCTTTTAGAAGGGAGTCCAATTTTAAGTAAAACCTGATGAGAATTTTTTCATGTATGCCACACCATGCTCTATTTCCCTACAGGTTTGCACATGGTCAATTATCTGTCTGGCTAGTAATAATGCTCTTGAGAAACTCCAGACAGACCCCTGCTAGGTGCAAATTGTTTAAGTAATGAGGATAAGGGGAGATGTCAAGGTGAGAGGACATCTGACCCCTGGGCCTGGTTGTTCTATATAGGAGGGTGTGACTGAGCTCAGCTGGGGTTAAGTTACACACAGAGTGTGGTACTTCAAAAGTGGAACGGCTTTAATCTGATGAAAACAGCAGTCGATTTATCAGGGCCCTGGATATTTTATGAACATAGTTTTTTGGTTAGGTTGGGTTTGATAACCCAACACAGTATTCATTGATAAATTAAAATAAAAGACAATAATGATAATGAAACGATCATTATAAATTAATTGTGTGTGTGTGTGTGTGTGTGTGTGTGTGTGTGTGTGTGTGTGTGTGTGTGTGNAGTTTAACAGCTAAGCACGCTCTATTCTCCAGTGGCTCGATTGTCGTCATCAGACCACGTGACAACGTAGCTCATTAACTCTCAGGCCGAGCAAATAGGACGTTTTTTAAAGCCAAAAATTTACAAAATGAGCTTTTAATCTGTGTATTTGGATAAAGATATCGTTAGTTGGGCATGTTTTCTGAAGAATATGTTCCGTTCAGGCCATTCTGACGGCATGAAGCAAACCCTTTAAGTTACACACGGAGTGTGGTACTTCAAAAGTGGAACGGCTTTAATCTGATGAAAACAGCAGTCGATTTATCAGGGCCCTGGATATTTTATGAACATAGTTTTTTGGTTAGGTTGGGTTTGATAACCCAACACAGTATTCATTGATAAATTAAAATAAAAGACAATAATGATAATGAAACGATCATTATAAATTAATTGTGTGTGTGTGTGTGTGTGTGTGTGTGTGTGTGTGTGTGTGTGTGTGTGTGTGTGAAAGAGAGAGAGAGACATGTAGGTAGAAAAGACCACTTCTAATACTTTGAGTATTGAGTATTATGACCATGGATCCTTGACCAATTACAGTATAATTTATATGGGCACAGAGCTGCATAAAACATTCTAGATAGAGATTAGTGGTTTTTAATGCGATAACCTTGTTGGCATTTGGCCTGATGAATTAAAAAAGGTTCAATTTGATAAATGGGATGGTTAAAGATCACCGTTTTCATTTTACAGAAAGCTGAAGACCGTGTCATCTTGCTGCTTGACAGAGAATGGAGAACAGTTGTTGTTGGGGACTGAAGGAGGCAATATCCACTTGCTTGATGTCCTGTCCTTTAAGCTGCTCGACCATATTATTTACCAAGATGTTGTCATGCAAAAGTAAGTAAATTGTATTTAAAAGAAGAGAAAGAAATCTGCATGACTGGGTGTCATGCATTTACAATTTTGAAAAAAAAATTGTTAATTGTTTGCTTGCATGAAAACAATAGGGCCTATCACAGCAAACAAAACATTAAAGCAAGTGAGAACACCACCAACAACAAAAAAACATGGCTAACCTTGAGGTCATGGTTTTCACTTTCTAACTGACTATGGTTTTTGTTCCATTTGAAAGCTATGCCTGAAAGCATTTTAAAACATCTGGCAGTAAACCTACGCCCAGTTGAAACTGTGACATTCACATAGTTCTATAGAATGAAACATTTATCTTTGGGGAAAAAAATATTACAACAAGAGCTGAGTTTCAGGGTGGTAGTATGTCATATTAAATCATTGTTTTCTATCGGCTAAGGACTATTTGTAATCCACTAAATGGCTGTATTGGTTTCTCTCTCCAATGAGTAATTTTCCAGATGTCATTAACTTCTATTGGATTTTTTTCTCTGGTTTTTGTGCTCAAAGGCAGCATCTGGCCTCTCTTCAAGCTGCAAGTGGTTTTATGATCATAATTCCTTTTTTTCTTTTTAAAAACATATCTGCTAGCATTTCCTGCCACTGAAGAATGTTTGAGTTTTGCCCACTGGGTTTGCGAAGGACTAATAGCTTAACTAAGGATGTATTTTCACACACATGCTGTTTTAAGTATTTGTATCCTAGATGTAAATGCTTTAGATCCAAATATGCAATAAAAAGTTTGAAGTAATTATTAAATATAAGCTGTGGAATTGAGGGGAGGTCTTCGTGCTATATGGTTACAGTGGCAGTATAGCTACAGCTTATTTCATGTTAATTTAGGATAAATATTTTCTTAGCCCTTTTTGTTATCTCGAAGTATTGCATCTTGACATGCTGATAAAATGTGAGCCACCCCACCCAGAAACTAATAGGCTTGCTCTTTTCTGGGAACATACATTGAAAAAACAGAAAACAATGCAGTCAATTAAGAAGTGAAGAACGGTTAAATGAAATGATGAAAATAAATAACGGGTAGTAGATACTTAAGGAATACAAAGACTTTTTGATGGGCAAGAAAAAAATGCATACCAGATGCATTCACATGGCCTTTCAGTTGTTTCAGAGGTCAAACCTCACTGTTATTGACATTTATTCTTTCAAATAAACTGCATTTAGATTGTGTGTAGTGTATCTTAAAGGGATTGCTGTATCATTTTATCTGTTTTCATTCCATTTAAATGTGAGCATTTGTTTCTATTTCCTAGTGTCCCAGACGACTTCAAAGTAAACCCAGGTGCCGTGGAAGCCATTGCCCAGCAGCCAACTGATCCTAACAAGGTAAACTCCCAGACATTTAACAGTGGTATTATTGTGCCAGGATTCTTGGCAAAGTGGAAAGGATCTTTTTAATGTTATCGTATTATTTGGGTACATGTAAAGCTGTAAAAATTTGAAGGAATGTTGATATCAGTGAAAGGTGTGTTGTTGTTCCAGGCACCATGGCACAACCAAGGACTTTTTTTGTAGATATTATTTTGGGTCAAGTTACTACTAACCTGGATGAGCTTTTCAAAACTTCAATCTTTGATACACCTCTTCATCTATAGCAAAAAGTAAATGTAAATTTGCATTCTTCAGACAGCCGGATGGTTATAGTGTTCTGTTAATGTGTTCTGTCTTATAAAACTTATCACCATGTCTGTGAAGAATAGATTCTGAAGGGATGTGAGATTTCTGGACAGGAGCAGGTCTGTGGTTTGTATTGGTGTGGTTGACCTTGTTCCAGCTTGATTGTGTTAGGTTACCCAGCATGAAGGTGCTAGTGTTTGTAGGTTTAAGCTGACCCCTAAAATACTCTTCCAGTCTTGAAGCAGGCTCTTGCATAGGACTCTAACTTACATATATGTTCTTCTTGTTATTTCTGAGTAGTCATTGAACTCTTCAAATCAAACCTTGCTTGGTTCAGCCAGCAAATGAAATTTGATTTTGACCACTAGATAAAATACTGCCATATATTATGTCTAACTTGGCCTTGACTTTGAATTCATTTTAGTTGATTTGTTTTATGTTAACTTTACAAGGGTATTAATTTAGACGGCCTCAAAGTTTCACTTTAGTTTTGAAATTTCTATGCCAAGTCACTGACTTTTGTTCTACCAAATCGATTATGATTCAGATTACTTTGCTAAAGATACATAATGTTATTTACCTGCGACCTAGACCAGGTAATTAGAAGAGAAAGAAAATAATTGATTTTTGTCTTGATTACCTTTGTGTGGGAGGGTAACAGCAGGAGATTGTCGGAGGACTGTGTTACCAGATTGAATGCTGGAAAAGATGTGTGAAATGTTCACATGCAAGTGCAATCGCCTGGAAGGGACAAGGATGAAAAAATTGCTTGCATGCTTGGCAGTTTTGTGGTGGCTGTCAGGTCCAGTGTGATTTACTGCATTCCCCAATGGGCTGCAAACAGGCAGATAATGACCCCTCTCCGACATCCGCTTACCCAATTTTTCTCCACACCAGCCGTTTTCATTTTTTTCCCATATGAATATAGGGGAATTAGGGTAACCTGTTTAAAGCATCATTTCCGTATAAATTGGTTTGTATTGGCCTGCCAGGTGCTTGAATGAACTAAAATTCTGTATTCTATTGTAAAACTGACTGGGGAGTCCATAAATTGGCTATTCACGATCGAAAGTACTTGTAGTAAAATTCATGGCCCTGGGTCTCACTATCTTTATGTTAGAGAGGGGTTGTGTTTGCAGGGACTTCAGGCATTCATGAATATCTTCTTGCGAATGAAACGCAAATGAAAAGCCAATTAGAGGCTCTAAAGAGATTTGGAAAATAGATTATTTTCTGCCTCTTCTGCTAACCCATAGTGAAATCCATTTACTGCAATCTCTTGAATTGACACCAAGTGAATCTGCACATATGCTGAACTGGGTGTTTTCTATAACAAAAGTTATCTAAGGGTACCTGGCTTCCACCTCCGGGTGTATATTTCTTTGTCATTTGGTGATAGTTATTGCATTATCCAGTGCTTATTCTTTAACTCATACTAATTGTGGTATCTCAGCCTAATTACTGGAAAAAGAAAAAGGATGTGCATTTGGCAAAGAGATTAGAGATGGATAAAAAGCCCAACAGAAAATTTGAGTAAAGAGGGAAATAATTGATCTTCTTAGACTCCCCTTAAAAAAATTACTAATGGTTAATTTGACATGTTATATTCCTAACGTGTGAATGTTTTTACCCAGAGGGAAGTATACTCTCAAACATCATTAGTAAGGGCTTGAGAAACCAATAGCTTCTTTGCATTGTCTGTTCTGGTATTGATGCTGTGTGCCATGGGGCATCCTGATATATATGGGAATATTTTCTCAGCTATACAAATGTAATAGGGAGTTGCATATAGTGTGTTATGAAAATGACTAACACGTGTCATCTACCAGCATTTTGTGCTAGATAATAAAATGGTACTGATTTGAAAAATTTAACTTTCAGTTTTTGATTGGGTACAACAGAGGTCTGATAGTATTGTGGGACAACAAGGAAAGCAATGCAGACCAAACCTACAACACGACCCAGGTAAGCAAGGCTTTTGAAATATAACACAATATGATAATTAAGGAAAATACTTTTACTATTTCAAAGCTGAGATCTTCTTCATAGCTAGGTTGATTTAGACTGGAAATAGTATATTGCTGCTACCAGGTGACCAGTATGTGCAGGTACTCCACTTCTATCATATCCCAGAATTTCAAACAACAACAAAAAAAAAAAAATGAGCAAGCTAGTGACACCAGTTGTCTATATCTGGTTTAAATAACTCCCCCTTGTGAGCAGGCCTTTTGTGGGGATGGGAGTATGGTGTTGCTTGGCATACTGAATTATTGTTTTAGTTAAGAGTTTTCTAAGTGACTCAAAACCCCCACATAAATTGTACTATTTTTGGCTGTTCATCAAAATACAAAGTTGCATTTGTTTCAGTTTTTTGAAGTAATAAATGAACATTTTATACTTTGGGATGATTAACCATTAGGGCCAAGGTGTCTCAGACATTTTTTGAATGGATGTATAGTTTTTACATTAATTTTTTTTCAAGGCTTTGATTAATTAAATTGCTGTTGCTGATTATTAGCAGTATTAGGGTTTTTAAATATAAGTATGAACACTGTGGCATACATAAGATAGGAATGATCCCCTTCTACAAATAGGCTTAAATATTTTCTTGAAGCCCCGATGAATGTTAAATGAGGATATGAAATGCTTTGAAATAACCCATTTCTATTGAAGCAATTGGAGTCTGTTGCTTGGAACCGTGATGGGGCGACCTTCATGAGTGCTCATGCTGATGGCAGCTACATTATTTGGGGAACAGATGACTCCACCAAACCAAAGGAGCAGGCCACTACACCATATGGTAGGTGCTGTGACTGGTGCTTTCTAACCATATGAGACTATGTCCTGAAGCAGAACTCTGAATGGTTTCCAGGTCATTGCCTGAGGGGAATGGATAAATAACTAGGGCAGACATTATATTGAATTGGGAAGATAACAATTTTTGTGGGGCACTGTAGTTTGTTAACCTTGAATGAACATTGCTGTTGTAATGTTATCGTTGATGTTGCTGTGGAATATTATTTTAAGATGATGAACTCCATTAGTTTAATGTTTATTTTATTTTGATAGTTGTAGAGAAATAGGAAACTACCTAACCACTGTGAAAGGTTTTTTACAGTTACACATATTTTTCCTGTTTAAATAATTACTTAAATCCACAATAAATTATGTGTTGGTGTAATACATATTCTTTGCATTTGTTGTCTCAGTACATGTATAACTAATTTTTGTTTTGGGTATTTCAGGACCTTTTCCATGCAAAGCTGTCAACAAGATCCAATGGAAAAAAGCCAAAGCGTAAGTAATTCCCAAAAGAATTACAGATTTTTAAACTTATTTTGCTTCCTTAAGTTGGCTTTTGGTTGAATGTTTATCATATTCACACAAACGTGACACTCAGTTAATCGAAGTACTTGAGGGAAACACTGGTAGAGTCGATGAAAGGAGTTTGTTCAAAAACTATTTAAGAATCTGATTAGAATTTTTTTATTAGCAAACCCATTTCCTACTTAAAGATTTGGCTTTATCTGAAGGGGAAAGTGTATTGGAAACTGTGAACCAATCAGTAGTTCTGTCCTTAGTTAAACTTGCTGCTCCACACAAAAGAAACTTCATGAATAATGGAATTTTGATTGTGAGACTGCGATATCGTTGGTGCTGCTGACCTCCATTGATAAAGTTCATATTTTGCTTTCCTTCACACTCATGCCTTTATCTCATGTGAGAAATTGTACACCAAAATGCTCTCTTTGTTGTAAAACGCAGATCAGTTTGAAATATAAAGGGAAGGCATGCGTCTACTAACCACAGTGCCTTTTGGCATTGTCCCATGGACAGTGGGGATTCTCTGCAATTATATGTATGGAGTTTTTTTATTCCTTTGTATTGGCTGGGTTCTTCAGTGTGCATCTTCAGCATATAATCTTCTCTCAGTCTCTACTTGCCCTCGTCTGACTTGAGGAATTTGATATTGTGAAGCAGTTAATTTGTGAATGAAGATGAGTTTACAGATAGGATTACTTTATTATTGCATCAGTGGCTGATAATTAACAAAGCTTTTGAGTCTTGGAAATTTCACAGGGTTATGTGCTCTTGCGTGTGATTCTGGAGATTAGGATATCACAGGCATGCAGCTTTTCTGCAGTGTGTCTGGATCATTCTAATATTTAACCATAGGGGTTATTCCATCTAGATAAGTGCTTTTTTTCTAATGAAACTGTTTATGATTGCTCATACACTTACATCAGCATTGATTGAAATTTCAGTCAAAAAATTGGTAACCCTAGTCTAGACAGTTCCAATTGAGTTGATTTTTTTTAGTCTAATAAAAAGAAAAATGGGATGGAAGTTATTCAGTGAAGAAATAATTTGATTTTTCCCTGTGCCATCCAATTAAAAATTTTTTTCTTGCCTTAGATATTGATTTCTGTTAATCGACAACCTCATCTGCCCTGTTGTCATGCCACATGTCGCTTACTGTGGTTGTCACTCAGTCACAGGATCTAATCTTCACAGACTCCATGGTTCTGAAAACAGCAAGATGCCTGTAGCCTCAGCAATTTACTTTTCAGTGCAAAGGCAAGATTTCAAATTGTTTGACAGCTGATCTGATCAGTAAGTGATGGCTTTGGCTCAAAGGTGTAATTTTTGAATAATTTCCATTACAGAGACAATTTCATCATTTTCTCTGGTGGGATGCCCCGTGCCAGCTATGGGGACCGTCACACAGTCAGTGTCATGCAAGGGACCAATCATGTGGTGTTTGACTTTACCTCTAAGGTGATTGACTTTACTGTCCTCAGCTGCGGAGATGAGCGTGCTGATGACACAGAGGACAAGCCAGGTAGGTTTGGGTGCTTGAATACATAGTAAAGGGGAGTTAGTGACTAATTTTGTAGCACAAGATATTGGATTGTCCTTATATACTTGAATTATATTTTGGATGTTAACCAAAACTGTGTGAAGAACTTTATTATTATTTTTAAGAATAAAGTTTATGATACTTTTCTGTAAAAAGTACAACAAATGTGAGATCTGTGTTTAATCTGTTTTTGAATATATTCATGATAAAAAAATAAATAAATTCAGAAAGTATTTACCACAGCTGCTGTATTTACTATGTGAAATATAACAAAATGATCCTCTTTTCGACTCCAGAATATGACGACCCCCACACCCTGGTGGTGCTTGCTGAAGAAGAGATTGTCTTGGTAGACCTGCAGTCTGAGGGCTGGCCCACCTTCAAACAACCTTACCTGTCCAGCCTGCACTCGTCAGCCATCACCTGCTCACAGGTGGTCACTGATATGCCAGAGGCTCTCTGGAACAAGATTGCTGATGCAGGGAAACAACAGCTGACCAACCTGTCATCAAGGGTAGGTTTTTTTATGCAAATTTTTTCTTAATTTTGGCTTCAATAACTTCCATTGCACATATTCCTGTTCAACGTCAGTTAATTACTGTAAATACATTATAAATTGATATGTGAAAAAATTTGATTTCAAATATTGAAGATGAACACTTACAGGTGCTCCCTAATGGTCAAGTTGTTCTTGTTTTTAGGATTGGCCAATTGGAGGTGGTAAGAACCTGGCAGAGGATTCTTCTCTGACAAGAGACTTGCTGCTTACTGGGTAAGAAACGAAATACTTTTATTTGGCAGTTGAAAATAAACTGACAAAGAACATTTTAGCATATTAAAAATTTGAGAAATTGAAATGATGGATAGCACAAAATCATACTAAAGTTTGGATTATTTATGAAGAAATGAAAGTCATGCAATTTATTTGCTTATGTTTTCATTCTGATGCACTCAGGCATGAAGATGGAACAGTGCGTTTCTGGGACGCGTCCACCTCCTCCATGTCTCTGATGTACAAGATGAGCACCACCCAGGTGTTTGGAGGAGATGTCAGTCAAGCGGACCAGTCTGCTGCAGATGGAGAGGAGGAATGGCCACCTTTTAGAAAGGTCAGTTTTCCCCCTGTGTCCAGCTCAAGATTATTCTTTTTACATGTACAATTTCTCAAGCTGAAGTGTGTTTGGGTGTGGGTGTGTGTGTTGAAATTGAGAACCTTCATTTATCTGTAAGATAAGTGTTAAATCATGTAGAAGTATAGTGAGTTTTAAAGCCACTGAAATGCTTAAAATTTACCTTTTGTTCACAGGTTGGTTGTTTCGACCCGTACAGTGATGATCCTCGTTTGGGCATCCAGCGCATAGTGATGTGTCCTCTCAGTGAGACACTGGTGGTCGCTGGGACAGCGGGTCAGGTGATCCTCATGCAGATGGAGCGTGAAGAGAGAGAAACCGAGGTGAAGGCTGTCACCGTGAACATAGTCAGTGACAGGGACAATTTTGTGTGGAAGGGCCATGATGCATTGCAGGTGAAGGAAGGGGATAACAAGTTTGCTGCAGGCTTTCAGCCATCTTGTGTGATGCAGATGTGGCCCCCTGCTGCATGCACTGCCCTGGCTCTGCACTCAGAGTGGCAGTTGTAAGTATCAAAACTTTCAGATGCCAGAGACCAAGTGTATAATAATTATGTAAATTGTCAGAGCAGTTATTGACAAATTAGAATTGTGCATTTTAAACCAGCCAATGTACAAAAAGGTATAGATGCAACCTAAGCAATTATTCAGGAAAACTAAAAGTTCAAGTATCAAGTGAGGTTGGTTATTAAACTGAAAATAATGTGAATGTTTAATTTTCTTTACAGGGTCACAGCTGGTACTGCTCATGGATTTGGTTTATTTGATTATGCACAGAAAAAAGAAGTTGTATCTAAGTGCACACTAAATCCACATGGTGAGTTTTTAAGGCGTGTTTTACCAAATTTTCATTAAAAATTTTAAAAATAAGTTATTGATGATCAGTTGTTCTCCCTGCTACAGATATCTTGAATGATTTTTTGCTGTCAAAATGTAGAGCATGAACTCCTGTTGTTGAATATTTCAGATTTCCTTTTGTGCAATATGTTATTTGAGCATTTGTCATACAAAGTTTAAATTAATCTGTCCCAATTAAAATTCTGATAATATTTTACTAGTATAGCTATACATAACAGTTTCCTGTTCAATTCCCAGTAATTAACAAATTATTCATTGTCTGATTTAAATTCATTACTAAGATTTCTAATTAAGATAGCATTTTGTCTATAGTCCAGACCTAAGATTTAAAGAAATGTCCAATACTATACAGAGAGCCATGTATATAACATAGATATTGATGGAGCAAAATTTTAATTTAGTTTGAATGTATTTTCAGATTTAACAGGCACAGGTGAGAGTGCCATGTCAAGACGCAAGTCTTTCAAGAAGTCACTGCGTGAATCATTCCGCCGGCTACGCAAAGGCCGCAACAAGAAGGAGCCAAAGGCATCCCCTGAAAAAGCAAAACCAGAGGAGAAGAAAGAGCAGAGGTGAGTTGAATGCATTCAGTGTTCTGTTAACTTTTCTGTTTAAGTATTTTGAGTGTATTTGGATTTTCATTTAAAAAAGAATCACTTTTCATTGATGTTTGGTATTGTTAGAAGAAATGTTTTGGTCTGTTTTACAGTCCACAACCAACTACAGACCTAGATGCTCCAGCTCCTGCTGCAGAGACGGCCCCAGCCACAGAGGGAGCTGCTGCTGCTGCCCCTGCTCCACCAGCTGCCGCTGCTGCCCCAGAGGAGCCCAAACCAGTGGAGAGGCAGATTGAAGCAAGACCTGTTGACGACACAGCAGGGTCTATGGTTCGATGCCTCTACTTTGCTGATACTTTCCTTATCACACGTATGTTTTTACTTTTGTTTATTTAATTTTTTAATGACTGTAGTCTGATTAGGAGCCTGATGTAATTGTTAAAAATCACACAGTTGAAAGCCTTGAAAGACGAGCATATCTTGAAAATGGATTATTTGCTAATTCCCACTTGCATTATTTACACTTTCAAGAAGGGATATTATTTTATTTCTGATTTTTATGTGAATATTTTCATGATTTTTAGCTACAACCCACACTCCAACACTGTGGGCAGGTACAAACAATGGCACAATCTTTGTCTACATGGTAACCATCCCTGCCAATGATAAGAGGGATTCTGAAGCAGTATCATCTACTCTAGGTAAGAATGGAGTAGCAACTGATATCAGTGATAACTTCACAAATGAAATTGGTTGTAAATTTATATAACATGAGTGTTATTTGATGAAATAATTTTGATTTTGTTAGGAAGAGTCCTTTATAGAACATGTTTAATAAATGATAACTTCACAAATGAAATTGATTGTAAATTTATATAACATGAGTGTTATTTGATGAAATAATTCTATGACTTTGTTAGGTAGAGTCCTTTATAGAACATGCTTAATAAATTGTGCTCTTTTAACTAAAGATTGAGGCAGATATTGTATTGTTATTTCATATTCAATTAATTTTTTTAGCCAAAGAAATTCACTTGAAACACAGAGCCCCTGTGCTGTCCATTTGTGTGATTGACCGCCATGCAAACCCCCTCCCAGAGCCCCTGGAGGTACAGCATGAGCGCGCCAAGGCCCCAGACATGAATGGCAATCATCAGTTGGTCATAGCATCTGAGGAACAGTTCAAGGTAAACAGAATATCATTTAAGATTTTGCTCATAATTGTAAAAACTGTGAAATTGAATTCATTTCTTAAAGGAAACCAGTGGAAATGTCTACATCCCACTAGTTTTAGGTATAATATATGAATTTGATAATGGTTATTGAGATTTTTTTGCAAAGATCTTATTTGTTGTGTTTATGTTTTCAGCTATTTAGTCTGCCCCAGTTGAAAGCCTTGGGCAAGGAAAAAGTCACAGCACATGAAGGAAGCAGAGTGCGTAAAGTGGGATACATCAACTTCAGGAGCAGAAGTGGTAAGGAAATGTACTGCTCTGGAATATAATTGTGCCAAATCATTCAGTTTTAAATTCACTTGATTTTAGTATTTACTTTTATGGAACATTCCCACTTGGTTGAACTTTTGGTTCAATGTTTGAAAGATACTCTAATCCTGAATGATCAGCTGGCTTAAATGGATCTAATAAAGTTTCCTTAGTCTGTGTACATGCATGTATGCACATAGACCATCAGTACAAGTGAAAAAATCCAGACTATGTCACACATGTATTTTCTTTTTTTTTTTTTTTTCAGATGAGAATTACAGTGAAAACAATATTGTATGTCTGACCAACCAGGGAGAGTTTGGTATCTACACAATTCCAAATCTAAGGAGACAACTGAAAGCTAATGCTATGCGAAAAGAAGACATCAAGTAAGTAAAGAATTTCCCCTTTGCTTCCTGCATTGTATTTGTGAAAACTTCACATTTGATATTATGAAATTTGAAGATGTACCAGTTGTATAATTCTGGAAACTGCGTAAAAAATTTCCTATGACACAGTCGCCAGCAGCCATTAATCAGTAGAAAAAACATTCTTTATTAAAATGTACACATAACTTAACAACTCCCTTTTGTTTTCAGTGCAATCCAGTCATGTGTCTTCTCCAAGAAGGGTGAAGGGTTCTACTTGGGCTCCCCATCAGAGTACATCCGTTTTACTCTGTCAGCCCGCGAGAGCACAGAGCCCATGTGTGCAGTGGAGTTACAGGATGGTGTCAGACCAGCTCTTGTTGAACCAGAGCCTGAGCCAGAACCCGAACCAGAACCCGTGGCAGAGGCAGAACCCGAAGCTGCAGCTCCTGCTGAGGCAGAGGGAGAAGGTGCTGCTGCCATCACAGAGCAGCAAGAAGGGTGAGTGTTTTTTCTTTGTCTTACATACATTTATTTAAATCGGTCCTTTTTGTCCGTCATATTGGAAAATATCTGTAGTTTTTCCAAGGAAAGGCATGTCAAAAATGATCATGTTGTTATGATCTAAATCTGGAGTGTCAAGTAGTAGTTTAGTAAGCTTCTATTTAAAACCATGGCAAGGAAATCAATTTTATTGATTTTTATCTCATGGGGTAAGTACTTAATATAGGTTTGCTAGTTTTACTTTTAGCCTTGATGATTAGTTTACATTTTCCCTGCGTGTTTAATTTTTGTGTGACTAACTCCCACCTTCTTTGGTTGCTGTATAGTGGTGATGCACCAGCCGAGGGTGGCGATGCACCAGCTACTATCAAGATAACCGAAACCACCACAGAGGAGACTGTAACAGAGAGTGGTGGTGTCACCAAAGTCACCACAACTACTGTGACAGAAACATTAGAAACATCAGCTGATTGCTCTGCAGATATCACTGTTGACAGTATCAAAGACTTTACGTAAGTATTCATTGTAGGAAGAATGATAGAATGGTAGCTCATTATTTAGAAACACTGACAGTAAGTAGGATAGCTATAAATGAGTGCAGTAGTGTCTGTGTGTCATTACTGCAAATTTTCGTTGACCACTGTGTGTGATGTTTTGTGTGATGTGTCTAAATGATAAGTGAACATAAAATGAACATTGAATTGTCTGCAGATTTGTGATTGTTATTTATTAATCTATTTTTTTTTTCCAGAGAGCAGACTACAGATTCTGGGGCCCCAGTCACAGAAGCGGCAGGTGAGCTTTGGAGGTGTCAGCTGCCTCAAATTTTTTTTTTTTTAAGTTGGTTTATATCTTAGCACTCATAACATACTTTTAAGTCAGTTGCTTTCAGTGATTTTTAAGTGAATGCATATTCTCTGAAATTTTATTTTTTCTCAGTTCTTGAGTGACTGTAACACCAATTTATATATATCATTGTGAAAGGGCATGATGATTTTTTCTAAGTAATTTCTCTCTTTTCCTGTATAGTATTATAAAAGGAAGACGTGTTTGAGTATTGAACATGGTTACAGAGTGGTTACATGGTGGTTATGTATTAAAAAGTAAATAAAAAGTTAAAGGAAGACATAACATGGCGGTCAGGTGAATAATAATATAAAAGTGATATTCTTACCCTCCCCGCAGCCAGCAATAAGGATGGCCATTGGTCAGTCCCTGTGCTCTCAGTCACCCCACCAGACGAGGAACCAGCTAATGATGATGATGAAACATGACCATCATTAGCTAGTAGTAAATGTATGGCATATCAGAAATTCAAAATTATGTGGTGTGTCTTTTACATTTAGTCCTTGGGATTCCCCTTTACTGCCATTTAGATGGAAGAAACAACTTACAAATAGAGGGCATTTTCCACTCTTGTTTTTGATCTTTTGATTGAATGTACTTTGTGTTATCTGTTCTTGAAAAGATGTCAAACATGGTCCTAGGAATTTGTGTTCTGTATAGTACCTGTTGATGGTGTTTTCTCTGCATGAACTGTTTAAACGTGAGACATCTTACTCGGAGTTGTTTACCATGTTTGACATTCTGCACTATAATAACTTAATCTTTTTTTATGAATTCAGTATTTCGCTATTATTTTGGGCTATTTTTGAAGTGATACAAATTAAGCGTGGCAAGAACTTGAATCTGGGTTAAGGATTAGTCAGGTTAGACCTAGAACAGGGCTTTCTAATACTGTAATAACTCTGGCTTATTATTATTTATATTATTGACATTATTATTACTGTTACCATCATTTATTTCCCCTCCCCACAGCAACAGGTGTAAACGCGGATGATGACACAAAAGCCGCTCAGGTCACTGAAGAGGTCAGATAAGTACCATGATATCTCATTCTTTCAACAGTGACACACCCTTGCTTGACGTTGTAGACTAGCTGACAGTGGTATCAGTAGACGTAGGCTTGGAGTTTAGACCTTCCCAGTATATTTTTGTAGCGATAACAATTTCATGGCAATTGTTACTAGCTATTTGTAAAATTCTAACAGCTAAATTGCATGGTGACTATAAAATTTTAGAACTAACTCCTGCTTGGTAGAAAATGGTCTAAAAGCTTTGAGGGAAACGTAATCCTAATTATATCCCAATAAAATGTGGGGAGTGGGGTGGAATATTCTCATTGAAATCATTGGGATATATTGGCCACTGTCTGCACTAAAGTCTCACCTCACACTGGCTGTTTATCAATTAATTTGCCAGTCTTTAACCATCACTTAAAATAATGATAACATTGTAGAGAATGTGCTTTATCACAAAAATATAATATTTACCTATACCAGGGTGTCATGTTGATGAAAGAATGGGCTGATATTGTGGCACTTCTCATGGCTGCATGACTTGCAACAATTTGAAAACAGTTGTGTGGGGTGACTCTCAGCTGTTTTATAGTCAGGGTCACCTTATAAACTTCACTTGTACTGCATAAAAATATCATGTTTCCTCACTCTTGAATGTTTGAATGTTCTTATATACAAAAAAAAAAAAAAAAAAAAAGTTCAAAGTGAGAAAAATGGAGATAAAACATGGCATGGAATAGATGTAGATCCAAAAAGAAGAGCATGACTATAAACTCCCCATGTTCCAGCATGATATGTTTGTCTCTTGAATATGCGCTGTTCATTCAAATGAACAAATGTAAATTGTTTGTTTCAAGACCTTTTAATTGAATGAAAGAAATATTTTTATAAAACTTTTGTTGAGGGCACTCTTATTATAAGAATAGCATTGTCATCTTTGAACATTTTTGCTGTTTAAAATTTTAGTCTAAATTTTTTTGTGTTGCTTGAACTCTTTCAGAGTAGTGATGTAACCGATTCCACAGAGCAACTAGAGGAGCTCAAGATTCGTGAACCAGGAGATGAGTGAGCAGTGTACAGGGATAATCTCTGCCATAACAACAAGATGGGAGGTTCCGTCTGCAAGAACCAGAACCACAAGGAACTGCCTTGAAGGACCACAATTTTTTGCAAACTTTTTTTTATCTTCAAAGTGCTCATTTTGTCGATGCTTCAGCTTAAAACTAGCTGGTTATGTGTGCTAAAAGAGTGACAAAGTTTGTGCCTAAGCTTTAGCTAGACAATGCACAAATGACTTGGTAGTATCGTGAAGCACTCAAAAAATTAGGTTGGCCAGATATAGAAATGCTTTTGAATTTTTCGAGGACTTTGCTACAAGCAGACTAGAAATGGTTCCATATATCCAAACAGTTCATTCTGAGATCAAACTTTCATTTATAAATGTGGTTGATAGACTGAGGAAATTTTTTTTAAACTGTATACTTAAATTGCTAGATAGAATTGTACAGATGTATACAGTAATAATGTGTGCACTACTTGCCTTACTTTTGTTTCACCAACTTTAAATGTCATAATAATAATAATAAAAAGGTTGTGCTTGTTTATCTGTTGGGTCTCTTATAAAGTAAGTTTTACAAATGTATATGTTCTGTATAAATTGGATTAAATCATGGCAAAGGAAAGACATTGTTGATGTTACCCTGTAAAGTGTTTGTTCTGTATTGAAAATCGGTCGACTGGTGTAGTGGTATCTTGATGTTAAAACGGAGGTCAACATCTGCAATTTCTTCCTAGGAAGTAAAACAAATGCAGACTTTTACCATTTCTCCACAAATCTGTGTATAGTATTTGTTATTTTCTTTGTCAATTTGCCATGTTAGCAGGATTTTAGTGGTGTTTTAACTGGTATAGTCAGTAACGACAGATGTAGTAATGGGGTATCTAGAATTTTATTTTGTGATATATTGCATATGTGCCTTCCATTTTTTCATTGCTTTTGAATGTAGCTGTACAACTTAATTGGTAAATTTGTTCATTTCATTAGAAACAGATGACAAAAACATTTACTGACATGCACATCTTAATGAATTATGATATCAAATTGTTTTTAGTGATGTGAACAAATGGCTAATAAAGTTTTTAACTAAATCCATTCACATTTCTTGATATTAATGGACACCCATGCACTAAGTGCTTTGGTAATTTTTTCTTTCAATTCTAGCAATTGAAATTGCATATTATTTTTATTTAAATCTGAAATTAGCTTTGTAAGTTATGCAGTACTTTTCACACATTAATGGATGAAATGTTGATAACTGTATTGTCCATCTATACTTATACTGCAGGCAGCCATAACTAGAATTGATCCGACTTCAAAAATAATTGGATATTATATAGCACAACAGTAATTACAGCACTGAACAAAATTTCACCTGAATAAGTATCAAGTTGTGTGAACGAGTTTGGCTGCTTGAAACTAAACGTTGACCAGTGTCCAAAAAAAAAAAATCACAATATATCCCATAAGCACCAAGCATACTGACACAAATGCATAAGGTTTTTAATTATTTGAAATCAAAACTTGAAAACCACTACTGACTAGTACCAAAAGGAATGAAAATGCATTCCTTGAACTTCTGAAACTTCAGCATTGCCTGCGTTCAGCAACTGGGGAATTTTTAAATAAATAGTAAAATTTAAATGAAGAATGTTCATTTACCAACACATCTGTGACAAAACTGGTGTTTTTTTTCTTATCTTTAAACAAAGTCAAAGTAGATGGAATGTTATTGTTACTGATCCTTACTCGAGGAATGTCAAGAATTGGCAACCCAAGCTGCCCAATTTTTTTAAAAAAGAAATGTGTTCCTCTCCCTTGTTTACAATTTCACATTTAACAAATTCTGCTGTTTTCAAATCAAATAGATGAACTTAAGAACACCCTAAGATCAATTATTGCGACTTGAAAAATATGTTGGAATCAAATATTCCAAACATTTGACCAAAGAACAGTTCAGTGCACTGTTTCAAGTCTGTAGCAGTTCCAGTCCTCCAGATTCATTGATAAATTCCTGCAGTGCAACCAGGACATCCCTGGTCTCTGGAGAGGTGACGGTGTGGTCCTCAACACTGGCATGGTGCAGGAGGATCCTGCCATTGCCACAGTTCTTTAAGAACACATAGGCTCTGTAAAAGAAAAAATCAAAACATGCCAAAAAAAAAAAAAAAAAACTTGAGAAACTTAAAATACCATGGGAATGCAAACAAGGAAATGCATGAGCTGTATTTAAGTGAATTGCACAGCTGACAACAAAAAAAGGTACTTTTAAAAATTTTGTTACAGCATGATAGTGTTATGATAGTGTAAAATGGGGGGAATGAAACCTTTACTGAAAATGAAAAGAATCAACTACAAAAAATAAAAGAATCTTACCTATACAGGGCATAGTGATCATTTTCAGCCTGCTGAATTAACCTCTTCAATGAATTCATGTCTTGGATAGCCTGGGGTAGAGTATTAGTACATTAGATTATTCAGTTAATATATGAAGTTGTAAGAAAGTAATGCAAAACAGAACATTAACTAGAAAAGCACTCAGAGAGCGTAGACCTCCACCAAGGCAGCAAAGTCTCCATCCAATGATGTTTCACCCCTAAATTTTCGATATTTTTGATTATTGATTGATTTTTGATCTGGATCACCACCAAAAACTAATCATCTGTTCCTTAGCCCACTTCTGACAGTTCCTGAAAATTTCATCAAAATCGGTCCATAACTTTTTGAGTTATGTTGATGACAGACAGACAAACAAACAAACAAACGGGTTAAAAACAACCTCCTTGGTGGAGGTAATTATTTCCAATTCCAAAACGTCAAATCAACACAAATGTCATACCAACGTAGAAGTACATATATGATTTACCTTAAGTTTAAAGCTATCCATCACATGTTTAAGAAAAACAGCACTTTTCTGCTCTCCATTAGTCAGGGTCTTTGCCCATTCTTCACAAAATTTTGTACTGGCTGAAAATTCAATATAACATAAAAAAATAAATAAACTGTATCTAAATAATAATATATGTATTGTACTTTATGCTCCATTCATTTAAATTTAAAAAAATATGAAGACATATTAACAACTGTATTTTGTCATTACTTCTCAAAATCCCCAAATTAAAATCTTTTAAAAACTCATTTTGAGGACTTACTTTTGGTCTGTATTTCACAAGCATCATTCTGTACAGTGACAGTGAGCACCTGGGGGAGCCACTGTCCTCCTGGGATGATATCAACCAATACTGCAGACTGGTTAGAACCAGAGTCGGAACCTTTGCCATCTCCACCGGAGCTACTGAGAAGATCAGAGAGGCTGCAGCTTTCAATAAACCTAGTGAAGCAAACATAATAAACAAAATGAACAAATACTGATTTCGGGGTGCATTTTTTCTTGACTCCTTTACACTGAAAATAGTCAAACATTGTGTTATCAGACAACCAGATTATAGACACTTTCCTGAGTAGTGCACCAACAATTCATATTGGAGACAACAAAGACTATATATTGTGTAGATATTACATAGGGTTTCTGCGCAGTACCATGTAGACTGTTGAAGGGACCTATATTTCCCCTTTGGAGATATCACTTTTAACATAAAAAATTGACTGCTTACTTTTTCAGGTCTGTTTTGAGTGGTTCCTGGTCTCCCTGAAATTCCACTACATTATTCATAAGTGCCTGAAAAAAAAAAGCCAAATGTAATTGCATCTTAAAAGCAATATGAACAATTATGAAAGAGCCACGTGTCTGCATGGAAATAAGATCAGATATCTAAACCAGTATGTTTACTGATTGAAATTGTACAAGTACTGGTAGACCACTGCATGCACCTCATGAAATTGAAATATATGATTTTTTTTATTGGTGGAGAGATAGTTTGGTATTTTACATAAAAAATTAACATAATCAATTCAACAATACTCACTGCATAGATTAAATATTGAATATCTTGTCCCAAACATTGTACACATCTGCACACATAGTTTATCGCAGTATCTTGCCAAGTCTCTAAGTATTTTGACAATTGCTGGTTTACATCTGTCAGCTGAAAGAAACATTCAGAACAAATGAGATTTTAGAGAACAAAAAGTGATAGATTATTGTATTTTTAAAAAATGTATTTTAGTCGAAATGAATTATTGGCTCTATTTACAAAAAACACTTCATGAAATTGATTTTTTAGAAATGCATATTACAATCTTCATCTACATTCTTTTTTTTTTTTTTAGTTACCTTTTGGGGAAAAGCCAAAACCCAGAATACTACAAATTTTATACAATAAACAGAGCAGAGTCCCAAAACCGAAGGTTAGGGTTTTAGACACCTAATAACCCCTATATTCCAGATGAAAACTCATAAAATAAACTATAACAAAGTAATTAAGTCATATTGTAGACATGCATAGGCTAAAAGTGATAGTTATCACACACCAAGACATAAAACAAGAGGAGGGACTATTCACAACTTGGTTTCTGTTTATGAAAAGGCTACAGGTGAAGTTACATAAAATGCAATTAGGTATGAGAGAGGAATGAAATAAAAATACACACGTTTAAGGGAAAGATAGTATGTGCATTTACCAAGCACAGAGACATTCTACACATCAATATATAATTCACAAATACACACCAAACCCACAAATGTAGATTAACATACAGATCATGCACAGTAAGTGGAAGTCACATAGGCAATTACTTATAAATATGAAAGTCGTTCAATGTTATTAGTTTTTTTTTTAAAGAAATGTTATATGTTACTATAAAATGAAAATGTTATTGCAAAATGAAAATTTGCATGTTAATATTCAAGCTATCACCTTGTCAATCTTATTTTCAAATTCCAGACGATGCTATGTAAAGAAAAAAAAAAAACAACAACAAAGACTTTAAAGGCAAGTTGGTCACAGTTAGCGCAAAAGGATAGTATTATAATAAAAATGTGTGAGTGTGCACTAAAATGATAATTCATCACTTACTCCACAAAATTAAGTCTACATTTATCATTTTGATTGTATACAAAAAGTGATAAACAGGAGAATCAGAAAAAAACAACTATTATAAAGGATAATAGAACCCACCTGCTCTTCAAGCAATGGTAAAAGAGAATCACTGAACTTGTCCAACTCTGGTCTGAATGTTAACATAGTTAAGGCTAATAAAACAGAAATACTGAAATCACAAACTTTAATTTATTTTAAAGTTTGCATTACTTTCTCAGTGAAAAACAAAAGATACATATGGAATGCAACAGCTAATCTTAAATCGATATGAAAATCTCTTTAAGATACCTTATGCAGTGAACTAAAGTACAAGCAGCTTTCTCAGATCTGCCATTAAAGACTGTTCATTTTGATGCCTTTTGGTTTAATTAATTTACATAGTATTTTACAGCTTGAATTTTGTCTTTTTTTTTTTTTCAAAATATTCATGTCATTCTCCTTCTTGTAAAAAAAATCATCAACAGATAAAAGATATAAATCCAAGCTTCCATCAGCAGGAGATATAAAGCAAACCACACATTCTCTACAATAGAATCCCTCCTCTGGGGGTGTTTGGTCAACTGTCTCCAAATCGACTCCTTGGCGTATCAGGCAATAATAGCACTCAAGTGGGGTACTGCTATCTTCTATCAACCTATAATAGCAAGTGAAAGAACTGGTTTATATAATAAATATTATATAGTTTCATGACATCCAATTTAAATTTCAGTAATATCATAAATGTCACGTGGTAATATATTTGCCAACATGTACAGCGTAGTTTGTAAGTCAAATTAATTTTTTTTGTCCTGAATATCTTAACATTCACTCTTCCATAAGAAGCTCCATGTGAGACTTACACCTTTTATAACTTGAAAAGTAGCCACTTAAGATAAAGGAACAAAACATTTTAAAAAATCTCTATATGAAAGAATATGAATGATGACTATAGAAAAGATATCTCAGCCTCAGCCAGAGTAGACGTACGGAAAATCTACTGCAGTAACATTTCCGCTACCACTGTACACTGTGCCACGTGCAAGCTTCTTAGCTATGAATTTTCTTAAATCAGTTTCCTTCTCTGTGTCCAGGCTACATGATATGACTGATAAGCTGGAATTGTAATAACAGGTTTATACTACAATGTACTATAGTAATAATATAAATATAAGTACTAGTACCTATATATATTGAGTATTCAATTAAATTTTGATTCATAAGATTTAGCATTGTAAAAATCTTTCTGCATGCGTTGTCATCTTAGATAACAGTCTTTGAAAGATAAATTATCTGAAACAAAAACCAAATAACAAATAAAATATAATGGAAAACCTTGTGTTATATACCTGAAATCCTCATTTACTTTTGCCTCTTTCTGTAGAAAATCTGAAACTGAATTGCTTTGTCGTTCTGTGACAGAATTGAGCCTGAAATAAAATCACAAATTTAAAATAAGTCATCTGTAGTGATCAACTGTCCTGTATCATGTTCAAAGTCTTTTTTAATCAAGATTCCTTCACTTACCCAAAATTTTTAGTAAGAGTTTAGAATTTCAATAAAGCTTTCAAATCCCGACTCCTGCAAATCATTTTAAGCTTACGATACCATTTTTGTTATGCATTTCAAATGTTGACTGTTTAACTTGAATTACTTTAAGCAAGTACTTCTATGTAAAGGCCCATTTCCAATGAAACTATCTTTAGATCGATCCAATTCCGTAAAGACTCTTGCTGAATGCAATCAGAGTTACATGCCTCCTCCGGCCTGCAGGGATGAGCATTGCCATTTAAGGCATGGGGGAGGGGGGGCTCTGCATCCATCTTATTATCCATCTCTGTGGCTCCCAAAGAGTTGGAAATCAGCCCATAGTCGGATAAAAAATCACATTACTGCTCCTGGGATTGAGTAGCATACTCAGTACAGAAAAACTGGAGGGTATACAATGTACAACTACATTGGAAACAAGAATAGGCATGTTCATCTGATTGCATTCAACGAGAGTCCCTTTGGTGTAGAATGATAGTTTGGGAATGGGCTCTAATTTTTTTTACATTAAAGCTTTATTACTATAGTAGTTTATATAAATATATATATATATATACACAGTTAGTACACGTACTACTGTAGTACTACTCAGTAGTACTGCAGTACCTGTACATGTGTACGTCTTTGATATCAACGTTAAATTATGAAGACAACCTGGTAAAGTCTTCCTACCCATTGAAAGGAAGAGGCGTGGGTAAGAGGCAATGGCACTGGTTTGTTAATTTGCTGTACATGGTAAAACATTTATTTTGATACTCAAAAATAAGTTGTAACGACAACAACCGAAAATAGCAAGTGGTTGGTCCAAAATTAATACTGCAACAACAGCGTTCAGACAGCGAGTAGCTTAATCCCACAGGGCGAGTGATACAACATATCATTCCATATCCAGCAATCAATCGCACTCACCTGTTGGTATGATAAGTATAAAGGGCATAAAATGTGCGTGGTGTGTTGTCAGTTACTGCTGTCGGAAGTTCAGCCATAATTCTCGTAACTCTAGGCACATGCGCACAACTTTGATTAAAGGTCAACTTCCGGTCCTCGTGTTTAGCAGACGACTCAAAACAAACCGCTCATTGACAGCAGCAGATAGATCAAAGTCAGTGAAAATGAGCGTAGTATATATCCTTTTTTTTACCATTTACGTTTATAAAAGACAAAGTTTAAAACTAACATTTTAGAGAGACTCGTATGTTTATTTAAATGATTTTAACTGTCATGAGTTAACATATTATTCTTTTTTGTACCAGAACTGACAGAAGTCACAATTTGTTTATTTTTATATATATCATTATTATTATTATTATTTTTATTATTCGGGGGGCTGATTTCACTGTTAAAATATAATAAAAAATAAGATGAGTATTTTATACATAACAGCTCATTGAATGTTATAAAACTACTTTAATATTTGACTGTATTTTATATACAATAATAATAATAATAATAATAATATGCAGTAGACTTAGTTTGAATAAAATCGGAATTCAGGATTTCCATCATGGCATGGTCGGCAAATTTTGATGATTTTAACATTGATGACAACTGGCCATCTCCTGCACAACCACAGCTTGGTAAAGTAATGGCAAAAAATGTGCAGCAAAATACTCGAACAGTAACTGAAATCCAAAACTTAGCACCTGGATTGCAAAATACTGTAAGAACTTATTGATATTATGTTTTTTTTTTTTTTTTTTTTGGTAACTCTAGGTTTAATATGATTTAGAAATCTATAGTTGTAACAAATATCTTGACTGCTCATTCTGAAATATTTGTCAGGCATATCACACCCCTAGTTTGCAGTTTGCAATATTAAAACAAAAACAAAAAACATTACAATTGTTAAAGACATTATATTGTTGTTTGAATTTATTTTCAAAATCATAAGATAACAATGAATGGAAAAGAAACTTTGTATCTTAATTCTAGATTTTTATGTGCAGGTAATCATAGGTGTGGTTTTGGCAAAAGAGGAACCAAGAGCCATCCCTAGTAAAAAAAGTAAGTGTTTTGTCACCATTTACATAATTAAATGTTAGAACATTTTGTTACAATTTTTATGAATGAGAGATGGATTTACACGTTTAAGACTAGCTTTTTCACATATTCTTTATTAGACCAAGATTTTAGTGCTCTTGAAACTACAGTAGAAAAAAGAAATTTGTTGTAACCCTAGGTTGAAAATTGTATGTAAAGGGTCTTCATATCTGTGAAAAATGCCATCTCTGGTTTGGACTATGCAAGCTTCATTCATTTTAGAAATAATGTACATGTTTAGATCCAGGTACAGAGCTCTACCTGGTAAGCTTTACCCTGAGAGACTCGCCTGTTGACTTTATAAATGCAACATGCTGGGGAAATGAATTGCATATTCAGCAAGTGGCAGAATTGTTTCACATTGGAGATATTGGTAAGGGCAGTTAAGTGACAAATGTTGACTTGATTAAAAAATTTTAAACTGTCACTCTATCTTTGTTAAAGTGAAGTTGGTGTTGGAGTTGGAAGAGAAATTTTCATGACAAGAATCATTCATTAAATTAGAATTACGTTTTCCAAAAATCAATTGTTACATTTTCTGTGAACATCACTGCATATTTGGTAATTACGTAATGATGTTTAAGTATGAGTGTTCAGGGCATTTTTCTCAATTCCTTAAGTTAGAAATATCTTTGATCGTAGTTGAGATTTGCAATGCACAAATAGCTTCAAAACCCTCAGATGGATCTGATGAGAGATTCAGACCTTGGACTCCAAGGTAAGTATAATTGTTTGTATCTGAGTACAGTAAAACCTTTGTTATCAAACACTAAGATAAATTTGAAGGATCAAAAAATATCCTCATTAACACTTTTTTTCAAAGAATTTGCATATATGTTAACATTTTGACATATTTATAACCAGTAAAAAATATTCATTAGAACTAAATCTCTTAATAATGATTTTGTCATTTATTCAAAATTAAACATGTTTTTGTAATTTCAGCTTATATCAACTTAATATTAGTGAAAACCACTCTACAGTGAAATTATATGGAGGCTGGTCTGTAGATAAGTACTATTCACTACAAAGCATCCCTATCAAAGCAAGCAATGACTTTTACACACTGGGAGACATTATTGCCAATGGGCAGAATCTGCATAATGCTGTAGTGAATTTACTTGCTGTTGTTAGATCGGTAAGAAATTAATAGAGTTACAACAACACATTTGCATCCTTAACATTTTTTTATCTGCACCAATGAAACTAATCACTTTAATTGAACAAATATATTGAATTAGAATGCATAATCACTTAACCATTTAATTATATTTAGGTAGGGTCACCCAAAGATATTGTAACAAAAAATAAAAAACACCTGAAAAGATGTGAAGTGAAGCTTCTGGATGAGACATGTTTATCTTTTCCTCTAGTACTGTAAGTACTGGGCTTGCACTTGCTGTAGATTTTGGTCATATAAATGAAATAAATTAGGGTGCTTTCCCAGAATTTTAGATCGATCTAAAGATTAAGTTTTAGATCAACCCAACTCCCTGGGGGTTCACGCTAAATTGCAGTCAGCCGAGCGGGCACCATAGTTAATTACCCCCTTACAGCTTTTAGTAGGCGGGACAGACACTTAAGCCGGCCAAGCTGACAGTAATCTAGTGAGACTCCCCACAGGGATAGATCGATCTAAAAATATATGGAAATGGGGTGTTAGATGTATATAATTAAAACAATCCCTCTCAAATATATGAGATTAGATAAGATTATTATTGAAAACATAGATTATTTATCTGATTTCCTTTTCTTTTAAAGTTACAGTTACATAAAAGTTCGATTGGTATTGCAAATACTGCATTATGCTATTTTTTTTTTTTACCAGATGGAGTATTGAACAGGTAATCCTTGCACAATCTTGGACTACACAGGATCAAGGTATTTTATTCCTTTTAAAATAATTTATTAAATGTGAGGACCACTAAAAATATGAGTTTTATGTTGGTATTATTATAGAAAAAAAGTCAAAATGCAACCAAAATAGATTTTATGGAGTATTTTAAAGGAATAACAACTGTTCATAAGTTATCCATATTTCACAATCAATGAATTGTAAACAGCTCATAGAAATATGATAAATTCCATTTTACCCCCAAAAATGGTGGTTAATGCAATCATTCTGGAATTTGTGCTTGCCATCAGATCACGTGACCTCCATAGACGGCTACACTCTGTAATAATCCGTAAAAAGAGAATATTACAGAAAACCAAACTTTTTGGGGGAAAAAAAGGGGGGGGGGGACTAACTTTGAATGTAGGAATGGATTGGTAAGTATGGGAAAAATTACCTCAGGAAAATCCATTTTTTGGACAAAATGAACAGTTGTTATCCCTTTAAGTCAATTATTCTCCAAATATGTCTTAAAATGTTTCTGCTTCATCCTGGTAAATAGCATGGAAAAAAAATACAAATGAAATATGTGAATTAAATGTCCATGATTCTGGTATTCATGTACACCTGCTGAAGTAGACATTTTCTTGTTGTTGTTGTTTGCATGTTTCTTTTTTTTTTATGAAACATCTCTGTCTATTTGCGTTTTCTTCCTAGTAATATTTGTGGCTGATGCAAGAGTTAATTATGATGATTACAAGAAATGCATGGTTGCCACTGCAACTTCAAAGACCATATTCATATTAAATCCTGGTGAGTAATCTTTACATACATGTATCTTCTTGTAATGGAAACATGCCATATATGTATATAATTAGTCTGTTTTGGTTAATATGATTTTTAACCTAACCAAGAATGATAGAAACAATTCAGTTATACCTCAGGGCATTGTATGTAATATGCACAGTCCTGTTGTATCATGATGGTGACCGTTCTGTTGCAGACACAAGAGAAGCCCACAGTTTGTACACATTTGCCCAGTCAGTTGATACAAGTGAAGATGATCTAAAAGAGATGTTAGATGTAGCAAATTCTGAAATAGACCGTAAGTTGAGACTAGAGTAAAGATGCTTCATTTAATATTTTGATACTTTTTCAAAACACCTTAATGGCTTCAATATATTTGGAGAGTATAGGATATGCTAAGTTTAGTAGTTACAAGTTTATAAACTTGAATTAATATCACAAAATGGGTTTTTGTGCTCTTTCCTAAAAGCTTATTTTGTTTACCACTGAATAAAAGTCATTTTATTTTTCATGAAGATAAGTAATAAGTATACACACTAAGGTTATGACTATAGTCATTCCTTTGCCCTTGCCAGAGAATTCCTTCAGCTGAGACACTTTGAGATCATTAAAACACAATCAGATTTTCTGTTCAACTGCTGCAATGGGTAACTATGCAGTTGCTATATTTGTCAGATGAATTATTGAAAATCAAACATCTGTTGTTATAAATTTCCAAATGCATTCTTGATATAAAGTTACACAACAACACATTTATTTTTCTTATTTATAAATACATGAAGATAACATTTCATTTTCAGTCAACACCATAACAAATGTATACAACTTAGAGCAGCTAAAAGCAAAGGTAGAACCAACAAATGAGGGAGGCACAGATCTTGGGATTACTTATGCATATGTTACTAACTTTGATATTGACGGAGAAACAGAAAAAGTCATAGCCAGAAGATGGTATTAGTTGTCAATTGAAATAGGCACATTGTTTCCAAAGAGACTAAGCATGTTTTTATCTATGAGTTAATTATGATGTTTTGGCCCTTCATCAAAGGTTCTTGATCACATATTAGTCTCATCATTTTGAACTCCACGACCTGAGGTAAAAAAAAAATTAGTCTTTTCAGAAACAATTAACCTTTAATTTTCCATTTTTCCATGTTCATGAGAGACCATCAAAATTCTTTGCAGTTTTTAAGAGATTGATTTAATTTGTCTGTCACCTAGGCTGATAATTTGTGAAGAGGACAAATGTGGGCCAAGGAAAATGTGTTTAAATTTGTGATATTTAAAACTAATCAATAATAGCACTACGTTAATATTGAAGGCAATTTGCTGGAATAAATTGCTTTTTCATGCACAATCAAAATAATCTGGCCCTATATATATTCAAAGAAGCAGGTTGTCAAATGTACCAATTTAAAAGGTGCTCTGTGCTGATGTAAATTTTTTGTGTTACTTTGATAAATACATTTCTATTGCATGTGATGAAAAATCATGCAAAATTAACTTTTCCTTTTTTCTAAACCTATATCCATGCAGTACCAAGTGTAGAATGCGCCTGGAAAAGAACAAATTGAGTTGCAGCAATCAAAACTGCCCCTTGGGATTCTTGAATGATGACACCATGGAAGTAGACTATGACATGCAGTTTGATATGGGCTTAACATTATCTGATTGTACTGGATCAATGCATTACTGCCGTGCTTATGGCAGCGTTGTTGAGAAAATGCTAGGATGTACAGTACGTATTCCCTTCTCTAATCATGCCATCATCAAAATGGCAAAATCTTTTTAACTTTCTTATCAGCATCAAACAAATTCCCATTAATACATTCATTCTTACTTGTAACTGTTATATGTACAATGTTCTTACTGATAAAGCTCTTATTGCTCATGTTATCTGTAAGTTTATTAAACCAAAGGGTTAAAAAGAGAATTTTTTATCCATCTGCTTTAAAATTATACAGGCAGATGAATTCCAGAAGTATGATGATAAAAAGAAGACTCAACTCAAATGGAAGTTTTTACTTGAGAAGTGCAAACTTTATATTAAGGTTTGGTTCATGATATATCAGAACATGTGTCATAGAAATGTGTATTGATCAGTTTAGCAATATTAAACTCAATTGCTTTTTTTTTTTTAATTAAAATATAAATGGTCATACTACCATTGGAAAGACTAAATTTAAATACGATTTTTTCAGGTCACATTACCCAGATTTGACAGGCCAAATACTCTTACCAGAATATTAGACTGTCAAGTTGCTAATCCTCAGGAGGCCTTAGTAAACCAAAGATAGAATTATGAAAGTCTCACACATATATTTTAATTTTCAAAGGAAGAGAATAAATATTTAAAAAAATGCTTTCACATATATTATGAAGTATTCTACAAATGGATTTTATTCTATTAAAAATTTAATTCTAAATAGCATACTAGTAGATTATCTAATTGTCCTTCTTTGCTTTCATTATACGAGACTATAAATGTACACCTTTCTATGTATATCTAGAACATTTGAAAAGTCCTGTTTGAAAAATAAAAATTTACATGCATGTTCAATGTTCAACTTTTTTTTTCACCAGTTTTGTGATACTTGAATGTAGGGTTATGCACAAGGAAAATAAAAATGTTGGTTTGCATAACGTTTTAAATTGGAATATAGCTTAAGTAACTAGAACAAATATATGGATCGCTTTTTCATTGCTGTAATTCATTATTTACAATGTTCTGACGTTTCTCCACATTATCAAATCTGCCGGATCTGCTACTCTCGCGTAGTAGCGCGAGAACGTTGGTTCAATCAATAATCATTTTCAAGATGGCTGCCCAAACAACAGCCTCAAAATTTAACGAAATATACGATCTTAAAGAAGAACTTGGAAAGTAAGTATACTTACTCTTTGCTTCATGCATACAGGATAAAGCTGTTTTCGTGTACATAGTTCTTGTAAAACTCGTAGCTTGTAATGAATGGGCGTAGAAGACCTCGCGATAGGTGCACCTGTCTCTGTGACTTGCGGTGCCTTACTAGTTGTATAATGCTGCATTGCCATTCAAGGAAGGAGGTTAGCGCCCTCGTGTTTGATCTGCTAAAGTGTGGCAACTGAATAGAATGAAAGTGGATGATAGTATCAATTTACTGAGAAAGGTACAGTTGCTGGAGTGCTTAGAGACATAATTTGCAGGCTTTCTAATTTTAAAATTAAAGTTAGAAATCTAATTTTACGTTAAATATTATATTATTGTAAAGTGTATATTTTAGGATGATCCTCTTTATTGGGATCTGAACGTAATCATGTATTGCTTTATTGCTTTTAACAATGATAAGCATCAATCCAATAAGAGCAACAACAAATGAATGGCTCTTGTTTATTCAGTTGCACTGGCAGTCATTGATTGAGAGTAATATTGATAATATGGCAAGGGAATATTGACAGATTATTAAAGTGAAATGTGTGACCTGTATACCACCAACTAGCAACACAATACTTGCCTGCCTTCTTGAATCTTCACACTCGGTTTGTACAGTCTGTACTTTTTGTCAGCCAATTTGTAATTCTTACAGATAACAAAAAAGTATTTTTCATTAATTAGATAGTCAATTTACAAAGCCATTTACATTTGTCACGAAAGTGTCCAACACTATTTGAATTATAAAGAGGGTTATATAATTTAGTTTAGATGACGACTGTATAAGTGTAATATTTCCCCTATTCCCACTATGGCACACTAGGCATAGAAGCTGCATTATCTGTCAAAACACTTAATGAGCCATTAACATTTGCATTGGTGTCACCACTCAAAGGAGAGCAATACTCCCATGCAAAAGGAACCTCCATTGCTTTGTTAAGGGTAAAATTTCTGCCTTTGTAATCCATACAATAATAATTGCAAGCATTATGTGAGAGCTTACGTATATGGGATCTGTTACAGTATTTTTTTCATGTGTCATAAATAAAGATCGATGTATCATAAATAAAGAATGATCATTCATAGCCAAAGCTTAAAGACCCAATTTCCCCATTCATATGCATAGAAATCCTTGGTAGCTGAAGCGCTGCCTGCTGGCCAGTGAAGCCACTTGCTGGCCGATGCCCTAACTTGCATAGAGCCTGCAGTGTCCACTGCCCAACAAACAAGTATATAGTGCTGTTATTTATAGAGAGGAAGCATTGTCAGCTTGATGGATTTACATTATATCTGGTATGTGGACAAACCCAGTATGCTAACCCTGTTTATATACAAAGCACCACATGAAGCCAGCTTGCACTTGAAGAGGGGTTGGCATAGAATTTAATACTGAGTTACTTTGTGGGCTCTCTAAAGAAAACAAAAAGGTTGATATCCTCACTTAAAATATGATACTTCTGTTGAGTCATATCTTCGATAGTATATCTCAAAATTGCCTATGAGATAGTATAATTTGATAACCGGAGTCAAACCGATAATCTTGGGCTGTCTGACTAATGCTAATGCTGTCCTCATAATCAAATAGATTAGATGTCATTTAATCTATGGATATTCAATAGAATGTCAGGGCATGCTGTCTTTTTCAATCCAGCAATTTCAGCAACAAACTGTTTGATGTATACAAATATTTTTATAAAAGGAAAGTACATCCCAAAGGATTGAATGTTTTACCAATGATATTATTACGATGGCTGTCAGCAAATTATGAACAATGCAAATTAATATGCACACAGAATATTCTCCCAATTTCATGTACAGTAGGTAGAAGAGATACATGTCTGACAAAATAGAACTAACTATACTTGTGTTGACATTGTAACTGAAACTACTTGTGCCATTGGAAACTTGTTTATGATGGCATTGGGTATGCAATAGTTTTGGCTATCTTAGTTTTTTTTCTAATTCACATTTTATCAATCTCCAATAAAGACATGTACTGTATATGCAGATATAAGGTTTTTATGTTTTTACTTCCCAGGATAACTTTTAATACTTCAGCAAACATGAGCAGTATTTTCTTTTGCACTTAGTGAGACATTAAGCTATTTACTTCTTACTGGTTAGGTAGGTTCTAGTAAGTAGGTAGTAAACATTGCACAGCCACAAATGAAACAGATGCAATGGTTATTACCTGTAAATTAACCTTTGTTGTATATTCACTGTCAGTTATATCAATTTATTTCTATTTAAATGTGTTCTTTTGGACCATTAATTTTTCATTTTTTTTGTATGTATTAAATGCACTTAATTAATTTAAGAGATTTAACATTTCCCTTTTAATTTTCACCTTTCTTTTCTTGTTTGTATTATTTATTTATGCACTTTGTGAATTGAAGATATTTAACATCTGGCCAACTTGTTTGCAAAAATGATATATACATGTATTTTTTTTTCACCAGGGGTGCATTTTCCATTGTGAGAAGATGTGTACAAAAAGCTTCAGGATTAGAATTTGCAGCCAAAATTATCAATACCAAAAAGCTATCAGCTAGAGGTAAGTGAATATGCGTCATTCACTGTTAACATCTCTGCACTGCTGAACATACAGTAGTTATTTTGTCTGTTATTATTCCATATTATTGTATCTTCGGTATTGAAAGGGCATGCCACAAATTGATGATATCATCTAAAAGTGATAATCATGGGCAGTATGTAGTGGTTTCTAATTTAAAAGCCAAAAGACCTTGCTCTGTAGTCATTTTAGGTTACTGTCTTGGTGAAATTAGTAGAGAATTGATTGCCATGGGGCTTCTGTTTCATTGTTCTTAATTTGTGTACTTGTGGGGGAAGGTTGACCTTCTAGAAACAAATGAAACCAAAAAAGGGCAGCTGAATAACTTGATTCTTTATGGCTGACGTTTTGTTAAAAACTCCACCCAGAGAATATAAATGTAGAAATTATTGACTGTTCATTTGGTGGAACACATTTCCACCCTGTTTATCATTAGTCACATGTACCTTTCTATATTTGTGATGCACAACCACAGCATGCCTTTATGAATATTTTATTGCAAATTATTGTGTTGTTGTTAATATATTGATGCTGAAGAGATATTCAGTAGAGTGGGAATTCTTAGAGGCAATTTACTTACTGCAGGATAAGGCATTTCAGGGTGAATGTCAGCCTGAGGCTTTAAGTGTTGTCTCTCATTTCAGAACCTTTTATATGTAATTTTTTGGTTCATGTTTACTTATTTATCACACTGCACAGTGCAAATGTGGAGATTTCAATGCCACTAATGCTTAAGCATTGTCACTCCATATCAGTATTGAGTTCATTCCTTCCTCTATGTTATTATAGTGTAGTATTATCTTCAGCTCACACAGTGTGTGATCAATAAAAGCAATACTCTTTAATAGTGAGTCTATTATTCTAGGGATACTTATTGCTAACTTTCATGGAAACTTTACACTTTATCCAACTTAGCTTGTTGACATATGCATATCTTTTGTTCTTCATATAGATCACCAGAAGCTAGAAAGAGAAGCCAGAATCTGCCGTCTTCTCAAACATCCAAATATTGGTAAGTATAAAAAATCTATGCAGAAACTTGTTGTATGTTGGATCACAAAAAGCCATGAAATCTGTTTCACAGGCTGGATTTCATGATATGAATGCATCAATTAAAGGATATGCAAAGATGAATAGGTATGAAAACCATTGCAGACTGCAGGCAGTCTCTTGGTAATTTATTCAACATCCATAGGGACTTTCCTGTTGTTGCCTGTCTACTTAAACCCATCCTTCACCATGGTAGTTACATAAAACCATTATTAATTACAAGGATGAAGGGAGTGTGTATCTTTATGTTCCATGCTTTTATTCATTGCACACAGTGAACTTACAATGTAATTTGCCAGTAGAGTTGAGTCAGTTTCATCTGAACCACTGAAGTGAATTTGTTTATGGGACTGTAAAAAATTTTAATGAACATTTTTAAATGGCAGTGGCTGATATCTCTAAAATATTACATGAACATTCCTTTTGTTAAGTAGCCAGTGGCAAAGTTAAATCTTTGATGGGTTATGTTTTTTATGCATATTGTCTTTGTTGTCTGACAATTCATAAGACCATGCCAATATGTTGTGCACATACTGAAACGATCAGTTATAGCTGATCTATACTTTGTTGCCAGGGAACATTCTAAGTGAAAGGGGAACCAGGTTAATTAAGAGCAAAATTATATCAAGCATATAGTATTCACATACATATGATGGATATTTTACTTATTTCTTATGATTTGCACGCTTGATTGGCAAATACTGAATTCTTAAACAACACACATCTCTTTTTCTCTCTCTCTCACATAGGCTTTATACATTTTCAACAATGTGAGACTAGATCAAGGTCAGCCCCACGATGTAAAAAAGAGAACTGCCAATATTCTGCCAGCTAGATATTATTTTTACATCTATGATAATTATGATAACATATGCCTGCCAACCAGCAGGTAACTTCTACCTTTCACATCTTTTGCTATCTGCGTTGGTGATCATTACCATAGGAGTAGCTTGTAGGTTGAACATATATAATTCATTATAAGGTTCACTGTTTTCAGTACTTAAAAATTGGCCATGTGAATAAGAGATTGGTTTTGGTCATTGCCCTCTTAAACCATTGATTATTGACAGTCTAATCAAAAACTTTAAGAAAAGCTATCACCAAGAAAAAAGAAAGTAAAGAATACCAGCCTATATTGCCTGCTGCCTATTGCCAATGCTATTACCATCAAGTTGCACATACTGCTTTTTTTAATTATTGCAGTGGTTACTGTTATAGAGGCATTCTTATTCCATATCTATCATGATGATTTAGTATTATGATTTTGATCTGAATTAGGAATTAATGAAGTTCTTATTTCTTTTTAGTTCAAATAAAGAAACCTTAATTAAGTCATCCTGCCAACTCCCTATTTATGTATAGGGTAAAAATAGTTTTTTTATTGGATTTATCCCCCAACAAAAATGAATGGTCTTAAAATTGCTGTTTACAGTAATGATACTTGCTGTAAGCAGTTTCAAATGTCAGCTGCTGTGAAGATGATCTTCCAAAAGTACCCATAACCATCAGTAACTAACCAACCAAGATGTTCAATTAGTAGACTCAAAGCCATTTACATTGCATTTCATTATTTAAATGAGAGAATTCATTTCTCCTTTAATGTGAGTGAGGGGTCTGTTGTTTATTCTGCCAAAAGAAGTTACATTGAAAGTTAAAAGTGATTTAAATTTCATCCTGCAGAACAAACCAAACTAAATGAATTGATAAACCCAAACTTTTATGATTTAATTCTATTTTGATGGTCTAGCTGTTTTGACTGTGTTGTGACCTGGATTTCCTCATGTTTAGGGCAAATACTAACTGTTCTGTGTCTGTTGCAGAAGTGAAATGTTGATTAGTTCACTAGTAGTTAATGGTAGATAATTTGAAGTCTGAAAGACATGGATGGTACATTATTGGCATGAAATGCTTTATGAATAACAATTAGATTGTATTGTCGATACTTGTCCCCCAATGCCTGATGTCATCTTTATTTGTTTAGAACACAGTATCGAAAGAGGGCATTCAGAATAAATAAGTTGACCTACAGACTAAAAGATCAGCAGACTAAATATGGCTGACACACTTAAAAGTAGTGCCAACTAACTCTCTGATGGCCTCCTCACCTTGCCACATGCCATTGCTGAAGAGGCCTTGCGATTATACCTCGGAGCTGAGATGTAATCCATTTAATGATGTGTATGGAGGCAGGGAGACCATCAAGGGATTAAACGATGCTGTTTTAAAGTGGGGTTGGCCATATTTAGTCAGCATTTCAGATAGTTCTCAGGGTGCATTCACATCGAGCCGAGGTCTAGTAAGGCCACTACCTAAATATGACGGACATACATGTAAGGAACACTGCTAATCCTGTAATGGTCTCTCTGCCTCTCACACGCCTCCCCACATGTCGTCCCTGCAGGGGCACAGTAATTAAATCTCAGCTCAATTCAACCGGTCGAGGGACAACGCTTCGGGAGGCATATGAGAGGCGGAGAGACCATTACAGACATGCTGAAAACTTTTCAAAATGGCCGGACATTTGGACCGGCAATAATGAAAAATTTGCCGGACCTAATGGATTTTTGCCGGACCCAAAATCACCTTATTTGTTTGAGACGGATACTACGATTAGGTAGCTTACTTTGTTTGTGAATGTGATTGGTTGGAAATGAAAGGTAAAAATGATTTGGGTTTTATATAATTTTATTAGTGAAGAATGTCGAATGATTACTAGTACTGTAAATTCAAAGTTGTGGTTCTTAAAACTCCAGTCCAGATATCATGACCGATCGGACCAACAGTTTCAGCATGTCTGCCATTACAGGATTAGCGGTCTTCCTTTCATGTAGGTCCACCATATTTAGGTCGCGGCCTTACTAGACCTCGGCTCTTCTCGATGTGAATGCTCCCTCAGACTATCTGTTCTGAATGCGCTCACAGTTCAGCTTGGTTTTCAGTGCATTAGTGTCTGTAATGGTATTGTTTGGGACATCAAAATTTGGATATTTCCAGAATTTGTGGATTGGCGTTTTTAGTCCCTATTAGGCTTTACAATAAAAATCCAAATAAATTAGACACAAAGGCTTTTTTATGCCTAAGGGTTTGATAATTGCAATGCTTTTGATTGTCAATAGTAGAATGACCAGTCAGCGGTGCTTCAGGTAAAAGGTTTGTAAATTTTTCATGCATTATTAAAGTGTCCTTGTGTAAAAATGAAACAACTTCAGTTATTGGACTACTAGTAGTTGATATTTATTTTTATTATTTATTTATTTATTTATTTATTTATTTATTTATTTATTTGATAATCTTGTCTAAGGTACTTTTGTTTATAGAAAAAAATGTAAAATCTCTGAAAGTATATAAGCATCTGATAAAGCTGATAAGGACTTTTTACTGATGTTCCATGCTTTTGATCTGATTTGGTGCTAACTTAATATATCTCCAGTTTCCTTTGGTTAAACAATAATGGGATGATGGGCTTTGAACCTGCTGGGTTTGTTTAGCTTCAGAATTTCTTTATGTGACCCAAATTACCTTTTCTAGTCTCACTTAACCTGGAACAGTTCATTGACTATTTTGCTTCGGTATTCTAAAAAAAGAGAGAGAAAATGTTTCTGCTGTACTTCACATTGACTACTAGTACTTCTAAATATTGTGCGCTCTTTGCTTGTATTTTAATGATGTCGATCTCTGTTGAAATTGTATGCATAATTGTGAAGGTATTATAGTTTATTGTCATATTGTCAGTTTTATTTACAACAAAAACAGTTTTGATAGTATGAATTACATGTTTAAATCCTTAACAAAGACACGAGTTTACAGCATTTATTCTACAAGCTGTTGTTCAGTACACTCGGGTCAAATTATCATAAGACACAAACAACTGTTTATTTATAGATTGCATTTTTGCTTTGCAAAAATGCGTTTCCAAGCCAAAAATAATATGTTTAAGGCATAGGATAGTTTCCTCTATTATTAAAAGTCCAACTAGAAAACAACCCATCAAACAGCTTAAATTGGACAATTTTCCATTGGATTATCAGGAAATTGATATTTAGGTATTTTCTTAGCATGTATTGACATGTGTCTATTAATGTTAGGAACAAGTCGATTCNAACACTGTTGTATTGATATTTTTCCCATCTCATCAATTTTCTTAGTTGATCATATAAAAATGGCAGTAACCTGTTAATTTTGTTTTATGTTAAAAAAATTGTTAAAAATGAAAAAAAAAAACATTTCAGAACAGTGCTGTCTTGTTTGCATTCTGGCATTTTCAAGTTGTGACTTTGAAGTTCCATGGGCCTGAAGACCTTTGCTAGTCACATTTTCTGAATATCCATGATACTAATATTTTATTATTAAAAATTGATGGTCATTATGCTGTTAAACATTATGTAATATTGCATCAAAATTTGAAAAAAACCTTTTTGGGCACTGCTCCCATGATGACCATTTAAGAAAAACCATGTCACTTACTGTTCTCAAACAGTACAGTAAATATGTACAGATGTGTCTGTACATATTGCCATCACCTGCGTCTGTCGTCGCCGTCGTAGCCGGCGCCGACACCGACACCGACACCGTGCACTTTCATTGTAAACATGATAAGTGGAAGGCAGTTTTACTTTTTGGCTGTATATATACAGAGCTGATGAATATTCATAAAACGCAGGTCAAGTTCAAAAATCAGCATGATCGGGCCATTATTGTAGAAGTTATGCTGTTTTTTCATTTTTAGCATATATGCAACACTGTAAACACATTTCAAGGAAAACCGATAGGCCTGTTGTCATGAAACTCACAGGAGTAATTGATCTTACTAAAATGCAGGTCAAGTTTGAAATTTGGCATGATTGGGCCACTATTTTAGTAGTTATGCTTTTTTTTTTCACTTTTCAGCATATATGCAACACTGTAAACACAATATAAGAAAAACAGATAGGCCAATTGTCATTAAACTCACAGGAGTGGTCAATCCTGCTAAAAAGCAGGTTGAGTTAAAAAATCAGCATATTCAGGCCATTATTTTAGAAGTTATGCTGTTTTTTCACATTTCCTCAGACTCAATTCTTAGG